CTGCCAACCCTGGAATTTATATACTTGAGTTGTTGTGTAATGTACAATTTCAGATGATTTTTTTCAGGTAATGTATTTTAGATTTTCTTTACATATATAGTATGTATAATATATAATATAAATATATATAGTATAACATGTTGCTTCACATTATAAAGATAATTCCAACTGCATAATTAGCACATGCTTAGCAAACATACTAAACTAAATGTCCTCGAAAAGTTGTGCTTATATTTATCTGACTTGTGTCTGATTTATCTTGGCAAGAAGGAATCACTGTAAGTGGGGTGCTATAAATCCAAGGGTATATGGCTTACAATTCTCCGTGCTGTATTTTATAGGAAGCAAAAGAGAGTAGGCAAAGAAAACAGATGTCCCATTTTAAGACATAAGTATCGACTTAAAAAATTCAAAAGAATTACTGTTGAAGTCATTTTTGGTAGCAATCTTCAATTTTTTTTTCAGACTCTCTTTCCCAAAAGAATAAGCAGAATACAATGAGAATTTGGAAATTCACTTTAAAACAATTGCTTTTTGCAAGTTACTGCATTCTGACTACACACATTCAGTTGTTTTACACAATACTTTATATAATAAAGTGTTGATGTATTCCTCTATTTCAGGAGCCGATGCATATTTTAAAACCAAGACTTGGGAAATCTGTGTTAAGCTAAACTCACCTTCCTTTAGTATTTCTAAAAGGATATAGAGGTAGATGTGAAGAAATGAAAATGCACAAGAATGATGACTGTGGGCAGGGTTTTGGAGTCAAACAGCCCTGGGTTCAATTTCTAGCCCTAGCTCACACTTGTGATATTCAATGAGTTTTTTTAAATCCGTTGTGCCGTAATTCTACTGAGGATCATTTCAAGGTTAAATGTGATAATGTATGTGAAGTGCTTACTATAGATAGAAGTTTTAAAGACCATGATATTCTATAGATTGTCTGCTGAAGCAAATTGGGCATCCTAAATCTGAGAGACTAAGACAAAATTATTTGCTATTCATATTTGAAAATATAGCATATTGTACTTTTTCTTGAAAAGTGGCATTTTTACATTTTTCTAAAAATAACAAGATGAATATACATTCATCTTAAATTTATATTTATCAAAAATATAAACTTTATGTTACATTTCATAGATCTTGAGGATATCAAGTTTATTTGTCAATACAGTATTCAAGTTAAAATTTATGATTATTTTATATATTCTTTTATGCTTCATTTACAGATATTCCAGAGTGAGTAGCAAGGTTGATATGTAAATTTTGATTCTTCTTAAATGACCAGAAAAGAATATAAACATTTTTAGAGTACATGAAGTTGAACTTTTATTTGGAAAGCTGAGTTTCACGTGTAATGAAAATACTTTTGAACACACAAATTCATAAGCATAATACAAACACCACCTACAATACAAACACATTTAATGAAGTTCTACTATGAATATTAATCAAAGTTTTTTTTTTTAAAGAAAGGGTAATCAGGTGAACCTGCTCCACATACCTTTTTTTACCTCTTTTGATGGTATAATCAAACAATTTAAGATACAAAACAAAGTAAACTTTGGCTCAACCCTACTTATTTCACTATACGAACACTAGGACATATACTATCACAGATTACAAATCAATACTATTATAACCAATTTAAAATTATTACAAGAATTATATTTAATTGCATGTAAACATATTTAGGGTTTCAATTGGCAATTATGTTTCAAATGCTTAGAAAAACACACCAACATTTCTTTATTGTCCTCTCTTTAGCTTTTCTCTTCCATGAGTATAAAATAGGAAAAAATATTATTTGAGACTTCCAGCATAATTTCATTGTGCTCTACATTTTTATAAACATGGGTACATCTAAAATATCCGATGCCTTTAATATCAACAGAATAAATGCACCAAATTCACATTTTCTACAAATATGCATGCAAAATTAGTGGAAAACACTTTTGTATAGCAAAGACCCTGCTTAATTTTCTTCTGATTAATAATTTTCAATGGCACAATGTAAATCAGACTGCTCAGTGAACAGTAGACTTAATTTATTTTCTGTAAATTTGTTTTTGTATAAAAATATATTTATGTGCTCACAGGAAAAAAGTTGACTTGGTATGGGGGGTGACTTTTAGGTACATAATTTGATTATATGTGTATGTTGGTTTATGAAGTTAAAAGGCATCTTAGTTTTTAATCACTTGCAAATTTTTCTTCATAAAAAAGAACACCCTGTGACAAAGATCATTAGCACTTTGTAGTGGAGAAAGCTTGAAGGAAGGGAGGTAAGTCATTTGCCTATGGTTATATACAAAACCAGGGCTGGAACTAGGAAGAGAACTGGGTTTCTCCTGACCCTTGGACAGCTCTCTAGGAGCTGGTCCCCATCAGCGACCTTGAGATTATATGCAACCCTTTACATTAAAGTAACACCGTCAGTAGACTACAGAAAGTTACTGTAAAGCCAATTAGGAACAAAGTTCTACATACTGTTGTGCCTTATCACTCAATGGGCCTTTTACAAATAATTATCACCCATTTATTATCATCATTGCACATCACAGACTGTTACTCATTTTCTGAGTGAAAACAATAAAATCTATGTTAACCTACTTGGATTTTTCCCATTTAAATATATTCTGATTCATAAAACACATGAGAAATACAATTTCATAATTAAAACCAGGGAAAGTCTCCTGCTGTGCTGAAGATTTCCAGTAGAAGTCAGAAGTATTGAGGCAAGGAGTGATGGCAAAATGTAGTCATAACCCAACCTCGTTTTTCCTATCTGTAAGTTTTGACTGTTCTGAAAACAATATTAGTAATACCCTTGTTTCTTAAGCAGCTAAAGGAGAACAATGAAGGCTAGTGAGAGCAAACATTTCAGTATTTGTGCTAACTTCCGACTTAAAGATTATTACAATGTAATGAATACACTTTTAATTTTTGGATATTACTTCCAATCTACAACCAATTTACATGACCCTCTCAAAACCACATCTTTGCTGCTGACAAAGTAGAGGAAATTGAGTTATAGCAGAATTAAACTTGAAAGTCCCAACCTTCATTTCCTCAGTAGCTGAACACCACCAATTTCTCTCAGATAAATCATTAGTAAATGATGGTTGTTCTTGCAGAAAAGTTTCCTCGCAGAAATCAGATGGGGATGGAGCTCGAGTTACACTAATGGATGTATGGATCCTTACACCCGAAAGGGATGGAAGGTCAAGATTCCTTCACCTTTCTACTGTTATTTCCAGGAGTGTGGTCAAATCCTGAGCCCATGAAATATGGTTTTAGATAAGACATGTTCTTCCTGCCTATGCATTTTGAAGGGCAATAAAACAATGTGCACTGCTTCATTGGCCATAATAAATTCCCTAATTTTGATATATTTAAGAATTATAATGGGTGACATAAATCAAAATTGAGAATTTAGCCATATACATAATAATTATAGTTCAAAAAATAAAATAAAATCTGTGATTCAATTTCACTGAAGCATAGCTAATAAGTTCAGGGTGAGGTTAAAATATGTTTCTATTAGATTAAAAACTGAGCACTAAATTTTACTGATATGTATGTATAACCTATCATTCCATTTTGAAAACATTTCATATAACCATTATAAATTGACAGCAGCCTACTTGCCAGGAAATAAATTCTACGGATTTTTACTGACTTTGAAAAGAGGAGAATACAGAAAAGCAAACATAATATCACCATAAATACATTTAAAATATGAATCAGACAAACATATGTGTAGGAATTTTTACTGCAAATAGTTTTATTTTATTGAGGGCTAGAGTAGGGTATACTCAACAACCAAAACTTATTTTGAAAAATATGAAAACATGTCCCTCAATATTTCTATGACATTTTATTTTGAGACTGTGGGAAAAAAGGCAATATAAGAACAAAACCCAAATGCTTTATACAAAGGCTTTGCTTATGAAATCTCATGTTGTAGCCCTGGAATGATGAAAATGGTATCTTACTATATACTCTAGCTGTACAGTCACGCCTATTAATGGTCTTTTTCTCACTTCAAAATAAAACACTTTTTTAAAATTGTGTAAATATTAACATAATATGTACAATGTGTTCATGAAGTATATGCAAGCATACCGTTACATAAACATAAAAAAGATAAAAGCAGTCAACTTAGGAATGAAGATATTGAAGAGAAACCTATTGGAATCCAGAACTATGGACATGTTATATGTGGTCTTCATAAAATAACCTTCTCACCATTTCCCTTTGAAGCTCAGATTAGTCTAAGTAAAAAAACAAAAAATGAAGATACTTGTGAATGTCATAACTGATAGAAATAAAAAGTTCATGTTGAAACTGAAAAAGCTGTAACTCAGTTTAAACATGACCATCTCTGGGCAAAGAGTTAGAAGCTCAATAAATACTGGCTGATTGTTCACCTAAGACTTTTGCTACTAAAATTTTAAATAATAAATTTAGACTGTATATATTTAATGAACTGTTTTATAAGACATTCATATTCCTTTTTACATTTTAAATAACCACTTTGCTTGTGATCTTTTAAACTGTAGTGAAGCAAAGCCACTAAGACAGTTCTCAGAGACTGAATACGAATGTGAATACAGAGAGAAACCCACAGGGTAGCAACACCTATACAAATATACCAAGTAATAAAATCAGGCAGAGAGAGTACACTGAATGGTCACTTTGGATTCAGTCGAGGTGGATCGAAATACAGGATTTGTTTCATGTTCTTCATTTTGAGCATCTGAAAACAAAAGGACAAAAAAAAAAAAACATAGGCCTGACGTACTTGGTGTTTGATTTTTGAAGGCAGTGCTTCCCCCCCCCACCCCCCACCCCCCCCCGATAAAATTGCAGGATTTCACATTCTGGACACAAATCTGCCAACATGTTTCTACTCCTACACAGAAGTTCTCGCTCCCTTGAACAGATAAGCATGAAAGATAAGGGTGAGCCAGTGATGTGTATGTGAGTAGTGTTTATGCCCGCAGTGGAAATGTTGCTGTTGAACTTCCATTGCTTTCAACAGATCCCTTCTCCTTGGATGCAGCGTATGCACCAATGAACGACCCATCTTCATTGAATAGACCGTGATCCCCTTCTCCGTACTCCACTAAACTGTCAGCACTTTCCGTGGCCTGCATGTTCCTATTGAGGGACCGAAGGCTTCCTTTGAGGGGTTTCTCATCACTGTCACTAGAAAACAAGAAAGAATAGTTTAACAAAGTCTCAATTTCATAGTTACACAAAGCAGGACTCATTCGTAAGTGTTGATAGGTTTTATAACTTTTAAGACAGCCATATTAGCATGGAAGACAGAGACTTAAAGCCCAAATAACACTTCCACAGATAAATGTTTTAAAAGTCCTAAATGATTTATATCATTTGAGAAATGATTTTCTATTATTCAAAACATCTCACCTTCCTTTTTGAGTGGAGATTCAGCCTATTGATAGAAAGAGGTTGCTGTGGTCTGAATGTTTGTGTGGCCCCTAAATTCACAATGCAATATTAATAAGAGGTGGGACTCTCCTCCAACAACACAGAGAACAGGCAATTTTGCTGATGAATGTGTAGTTTTGGAGAAAGAACTTGAAAGACATATTCCCTACTGTAAAGGTGTGCCATGTGAAATAATGCAGGGGTGATGTTACCTATCTTGAAAAGAAGCAGTCGAGTTCAGGGAAATGAATTTTTGGACAAGGTGCTGTTTTAGTTTTGTTTTGAGTTTTTTCCCCATAAAACAAAACTAATACTGTCTTTCAAAAGTGTTTTTAAACAGTTGTCATAGGCCCCAATGATCCCTGCTTTATGGAATTTGAGTTCCTATGCAAACCCCCACCTCCAAATATGTTACTGACTCACGTCTATAGAATGCAACAGAGCAACGGAATATAACTTCTAGCTTAGGGGTGCAAAGGGCTATGGCTTCCAACTTCGCTGTTCTCTCTTGCTTGCCTGTTCTACAAGTCGCTGGAATTTCCTGTGGCATGGAATTGAGATGATCTCTGGCCCGAGAAAAACTGAAGCGATATTTTCAGTAGTATGTAAGGAGCTGAATCCTGCCAACAGCCACTTGGGTGGCCTAGGAAGTACATTCTGCTCCAACTCAGCTTTTTTTTTAGGGATGACTGAAAACAGGAACGAGTTTAGTTATCAGGCAACATATTGCTGCTGGAGAAGAATGATGTAGAAAGAAATGGTTCTCAAAGTATGTTCTGCCACTCTTTGGAGTCCTGAGAGACATTTAAGGATGATCCATGAAGTCAAACCTGTTTTCATAGTAAGTTAAAGCAGTATTTTCCTTTTTCACCTACTAAATTCCTACATGAACATACAGCGGAGTTGTCCAGAGTCTGCACGATATGAGAGTACAGCACACTGAATGTGTCTCAGTCCACCAACTTTCCTCTGTGCACACCTATTCTGTGTCCAAATGCCCCCCTTTTATGAGGACACAACTCATTTTATATTAGGGACCCACCCTATTCCAGAATGACCTCAGGTAAACAACCCTATTTCCAAAGAAGGTCAAATTCTGACCTTAGACTTCAATAGATGAATGGGGGACCTGATGCCATTTACCCCTGATAGCCTCGGGATGGCAAATGTGGAAGGAACCAAGTGCCTGAATGACTGCCTGGAACAGAGCACCGCGCAAACAGTTGGGCAAGTTAAGTTATAGTGGCTTGGGAGCTTGCTTGTTACACCATCCACCTGAGCTTTTAGATGAAATCACAGCCCTGGTCAAAGCCCAGCTGCAATGTCTTGAGCTATCCTTAGCCAGAGGCGTAGAGCCTGGCCATGCCTGGATTCCTGACTCACAGGGAACTTGAGATAATAAATGCTTGTTGTGCTAAGCTGTTAGTATTAGGGATAATTGTAATGAAGCAACTGATAACTGATACACTAACAATGAGCATAATTTATAAACTTAAAAAATTCATTCTTCATTCTTCATGAAAAGCAAATCCATAAAACATCTATAAAATTATATAATCTCCTAAATTTCTGATCAGGACATTTTTAAAGTAGCAAATAATATAAAGCTATATACCAAATACCATGATCTTATAAAATCCATAAAGGAATAATTTGGAAAAAATATAGTTAAAATTTATAGATCACTGTAATTTCTTTCTCATTATTCTGGGAAGAATTTAAAGTCATTTATTAAGCAATAAAAAATATAAAATGAGTATCTACTAAGTAGAAGAAGGAACAATAAGTACAGAGCAATTTAGAGGTTCAATGATGCTCAAATGTGTATCAGTTGCCACAGGATCTCTAATCAGAATACTCTAAATCCCTGGTTACAGTTACAAATCCAGAGATGAGCAATGAGGGCCAATCAGAATTCTTATTTGATATGCATTCCTGATATCATGCATGCAAAATCAATATAAGTCTAGAACTTGTAATAACTCTCTTGACTGCAACACACAGAGGACTTTTAAAAATTTATGGCATCCCAAGTAAGAAGAGCTAAGAAAGTCCATGGGTGGTGAAAAGGGGAAGACAGAGACATCTAACTTAAGAATGAGTTTTAACCCTTCCGCAAGAGATACCTGTCTTGTATCTGACTTTGTGCTATTTCATCCATGTATGACACCCTTTTATACCCTCTCTATCTAGCACTTAACAGTAACAAAATCTTATTCATCCTTGTCGGCCTGGTTTATCTCTTAATTGATTCTTTTGTCCAGAATCTTTTCCCCAGGCAGAAATAGTTGTTCCCTTTTGTGCTTTCTTATTCTAATTAATTAAATACAGTTACTTTCACATATAAGTCTTTGTTCCCTTTGAAGTCTAGCTTTGTATACAAGATTGGGTTTGTGCCCTACATATTTTGTAGGTACACACAGTAGATTTATAATCTGTGTCTATGGACATATATAAATGAAACCTGAGTTTGTAATGACTAGGCTAAACAGTTGCTTCAAGATGTTTTAACTACTCCAAATAGATGTTCAGTCTAAATAAAAACATTGTCCTCATGTTATACATGGAGCTTTAAGAAAAATATCCTGATGTTCATGGCTACCCAGATTGTAGCTCTTAACACACATGAATGCTGAATACAGAAATTCAGTTATTGTCACTTAAGTAGGCCCTACTTGAGCAAAAGTATTTGTTTTATTACTATTGCTTTTAATTTCTTGTTTTGTGAGACAGAGTCTCCCTGTTTAGCCCAGGCTGGCCTTGAGGTCATATCCTCTCTCAGCCTTCCAAGTACTGGGATTATAGGTGTGTGTCATTGTACCTGGCTACAAAGTATCCTTTATAAAAAGATTACAATATAGTGTCATAACTATTAAAAATTAGACTTGTGTCCATTTAATAACCACGATAAGTACATCTTCTAATACATTTAAAAATGGAAAGTTACATTTACCTGTATTCACCAAAAGTTTCATCTTTTACTGACTGAACTTCTGGGTCTGGATGCAAATCTTCCTTTTCTTTCACTAAAAAAAAAAATAAATAAAACAAAGAGAAAGTAATGCAAAGGCGTTTTAAAGCACTGTTGAAAGGTAAATAAGAGACCACTAAAGAGAACAATCCTGTCAAAAATTTTTGATACCAGTGATACAAGTTACTAGTTTTTCTGCAGCTATAACTACAATATATCACTAACACTCTTGTTTAAACCAAAAAGAATGGGGCATTTTTTTAGGTTCTACTTATTTATCTTTAAGTCTGTAGCATACTGACTGCTCATTATTATATGGACAATGAGCCTTATTGGAAGACTCCAAATTAGATTGGTTTCTCCAAAAGACAGAATACTCAATGTTCACTTCACTACTCCAACTTTTTGAAGATGTCATAGATTCATATCCAATGTATGTCATGCAACCATGATAAACAGAAAAACAGTTAATCATTAGGTTCTTCTGCTTTACTCTCTTAATCAAAACTGTCCCAAAAATCAGAATAATCAGGTCTATGATGGCATTTTGAATTTTTATTTATTTGGAATTGTGGGATACAAATGAGCACTTGCTTCACTTTCCTTGGAAAATTACAATAAACAATCCTTCTAGGCTGTGTTTACCACTACTGGCTAGAAGGTTCTCTTTGTTGTCCTGCAGTGTAAAATACGGAGTTATTTTTGTTTAATGAGCATGATTTGAGGAAGCTCTTTAGAATATGGTGGTTCCACACTTCACAAATGGTTATTTGTAGAGTGTAATAAAGGAAGAATACTATGTCTGTTAGGTTCCCAGTGAATTACCGAAGATATTCATTAGTCATTGTGAACATAATTAGACTGCACAGGAAAAACTGAAATATAACTGTATAAATTATCCAAGTAATTTCGTTTGGTTGGTTCTTGTTTGTTTTTATTTTTATATTTTTGAGACAGGATCTTGTTATACAACCCAGGCTCTCCTCAAACTCATTTTATAGCTCAGATTGTCCTTGAACTTGCTATCTTTCTCGCTCAGACTGCCAAGTGCTGGAATTACAGTTGTGTCCTACCATGTCGGTCCTTAAATTATCCATGTAATTTTATAAAATCTTAGAAGTCATACTCTTGATGGATCTATGTACATGACATTCTCAATATTTACTGAATGAATCACAAGGCAATAAAGAACTTTTCACTAATGTGAACATCATCACAGTAAGAGCTGTGGGGTCTCATTCTTTCCCCCTTATAAAAGCACTATGAATTCTAAATAATAATTAACAATAACAGCAATAACAATATGTATGCCTGAAAAAGACAAACTTGGAAGTTGAGTGTAATTAAAATCAAGGCAAATATATTAACAACTAAGATGAGAAATGGAGGAGATGATCCAATTAAAGATACAATACATAAATATATGGAAATGCAACCCTGTATAGATATCTTAAACAAATAAAAATGTCTTTTTTTCTCTCACAAATGGAGGTCAACAAGGTAAAACAAGTCTTGTCTGGGGGTTGGTACCAGTGGGAGAGGGGAGGTTACAAGGAAAGGGTGAAGGAGATGAATATGGTGGAAATATTAAGTACTCATATATGAAAATGAAAAAATGAGACCTGTTGAAACTATTGTAAGAAGAGGGGAAGGGGGATAACAGAGAATGATGGAGGGGATGAATTTAACTAAGATACACTATAAGCACTTTTGTAAATGTCATAATGTACTTCCAGTACAATAATATAATAAAAAATACTAAAAAGCAAGGAGGATGGCTTTTATTTATATTTAATTTGCCATTAATTCAAGAGGTAGTATATCCAACACATACCATGGTAATAAGAAGTGCATTCTCAGGAATCGTTTCCTCTAACAAGATGACTAGTGGAGCCAGTACTACTAGAATGCACACCACAAAAAATCTAAGTCATGTAGGTACAGAGAGGTGTGTGTGCTTTCAATGGGCCCCTTCTTTTTAGGATATTAAAACATATGTGTGACTTAGTGATATGTCTTCTCAACATCTCTAATGTTTTACGGGCAGAAGAAAGAAGCTTAGAAGAGTCCTCTTGGAGCCTGTTTTAATTACTAGACACCGGTAAACAAGTAACCACTTAGAGATAATATTTTAGACCAAACTTACTCCCTGTGTGGTTGGTTAATTTAGGAATATTTCCTCTCCAGTATATAAATATATAATATTTGTCCTAAATGTATCATTTTAAAAATAAAAAGTCTCTAAAAAATGCCTCCCAGAAAATACAATTTAAGAAATTAAAAATCACATTAAACTGTTATACCTGAATACTTTCCTCCTTTGTTCCTCTTCACAAAGCAAACAGTTAGCAGTATTAGTGTGAGGAGAGCTATCGCACACATCAGTCCAATAAACCATCCTTGAGTAGAGATGTCCTCATATAAACCGGCATATTCTGTTGTATAAAGAGAAGTCACACCATTGAGCACTGGACACAGTCCTTGGGATTGGATAAGTTTCGGGAAAAATCAGACATCATTTTAAAATACACAAAATGAGTCCATTTTATTTTTCCTTTGAGTAAACCCAGAGAAGTAATCAGAAGAATATTTAACTGGGGAAATGCTAATAAATCATTCCTTCTTTCTTAAGAAAAGACCTTTCTCAAGTTGCATTTGATTCTGACTACAAAATCGAGAAGAACAGTGAAGGCAGGAGATGTTAAATGCAGAAGCAGCAGAGAGAAGCAAAAGCAAGGGCTGTCTGGATATACACAGACCACCACAAAGCCTTTGTGGGCTTTGGTTCGTTTAGATCTTTCCTTTTAGTTTTTGTTATTAACATGTGTTAATCAGCAGGAAATATTTTTGGGTGACTACTCTGATAAAAACAGTAAGGAATAAGTTGGACTATTCTGAAAGATTTTCATTTCAGTAATTTTGAAATGCTATGCCAATAAAAAATTGAAATTATGGTTTTTATATCTAATGTACAGTGTATTTTTTTACTTTAATACAGGATGTATGTAAAAAAATCCACATGACACAGGCATATTGTCTAAGACTACCCCAAATATAATCTCAGGTCTCACCTCTCCCTCTTGTCTCAATTACATCTTGAAAAATGCTATCGTTATCACCCCAATTCTTAGTCATTAGGCGAACTATATGTTCCGCTCCCGGCTCAAGTACCTCTATTGGGTGAATCTTTTGGGTAAGATTTACTCCTTCTGAGATCTTCCTGATACCTTTACCTAAGAAAGGTACACAGTTAAATCATATGAATGGTAATCATTGAAAGGCAGGACATGAAAGGTTAAAAAATACTGTCATTTGAGATGAAAAAAATCTATTTTATCATTTTTCCTTAAATATTTCTCAAATTATCAGATCAAGAAAAACAACATTTTAATACTTTTTTCTTTCCTGTATTGAAAATGAGTACATGACATGAACTTAATTCATGGTCACTTATGATGATGGGCTGTTGATGAAATGGTACTATAAATCTGCCTGAGCATATGAATGGCTCAAAACCAAACACGGACTTAAAAAAATTATACAACATAACTCTGTGTAGTTTGGGTTTTTACATCTGCTGGAAAACTGAGTATGGTTTTCTGACTTGTAATTGGATATTATAACATGATTTTATTTAACTATATATTAAGTATAATTACATATTAGATATATTAAATAAGCATGTTAAAGATCTATATAGCCTACTGAAGGAATAGTATTATATAATAAGATGTTATTTGAAATTTGTTACAAACTTAAGCTGCATAAAGTGCAGGTTTATAGGTACATTTAAATAAAATGGTTTCACTGACATTTTGAAAATGGTATGACAAATTAATATTCTCCATAAAGATTAATGTGCCAATATGTAGACAGCGGAATCTCACAGTAACAGATGAAAATGATTCAAGTTTAATTAAATAAACACTATTTTTAAATTTTATTTTAACCAAGTATTTTTGGCATTTGGCCACAGTTTTGCTAGAAATTAGCTCAATAAAGTAAATCAGAAAATAGCAACAATATATACATGAAATAAAATCTTTCTCAGTGATAATGCAGGGGTCATGAAACCTTTATGTGGACATGTTACACATCAATATTTGGTTATAATTTTTTACTGCAGAATAAAAATTGATTACATAGTTACTGAATAACAATAGGGTTTTATTAAAAATGTTACATGGAAGAAAAAAAGGCCAGTTACATAGGGGAGCAAAGTTTTTAAGATGGCTCACCATTGAGATAGAATGCAATTAATTTTGTCCTTAGAAAACAGAAATATTAGTATAATGTTAAGTAGTTCAAGCTTTTGAAAAATAGAGAAAAGCAAGTGTTTTATTCAAATAACTGATAACACAAAAGCATCCTTCTGATTAACTCCATCATCTTCCCCCTTATATCACTAGTCATCTGAAAACTGGGGTGACAACCAGAAAACATTCACATAAAAATGCATGACTAGTAAATCTCATACTGTGAGTAAATATCAAGTAATCCTAAAATATCCTATGTAGGCAGAGAAAGAGAGGAAAAATAGGCAGCAGTGTTTTCCAATTTTAACAAAAATAAGCATTTTGAGAGTGTTTAGTGTAATCAAGATATATCTCCTCTGTGGAAAGATATAGGCCATGTTGAAATCCAGTGGAAAAACACACTTAAAAGATTTTTTTTGCCCTTAACGCAAAGAAACTAAAGCAGATACCTTAAAGCAACTGAGGCCAATAGGAAAAGGGGAACAGGTACTAGAGAAAAGGTTAGATCAAAAAGAATTAACCTAGAAGGTAACACCCACGCACAGGAAATCAATGTGAGTCAATGCCCTGTATAGCTATCCTTATCTCAACCAGCAAAAACCCTTGTTCCTTCCTATTATTGCTTATACTCTCTCTACAACAAAATTAGAAATAAGGGCAAAATAGTTTCTGCTGGGTATTGAGGGGGGGAGAGGGAGGGGGCGGAGTGGGTGGTAAGGGAGGGGGTGGGGGCAGGGGGGAGAAATGAACCAAGCCTTGTATGCACATATGAATAATAAAAGAAAAATGAAAAAAAAAAGATTTTTTTTACTATAAATATGGCAAGACATGCTTAAAGAAAAGAAATCATTATCAATTGGGGAAGGGGGCTGTAGCTGGAACACAGAAAATGCAGATTCCTGAAAAAGAACAGAAACATACTAGTAAGGAACATTCTTAAATCACTGACACATAAGAGAGTGAAGAATTCTGCTTTTAAGCACTGAAGCTCATTACTTTTATCTTTAGCTTGTGAAAATGAAGTGGCATAAGCTACAAAATCACAGAAACAGCACTTCTAACCTCCAACAAAATAACAACCATGTCTGTGCTTTAAAATCTGGTTTGAAAAATGTAGAAACCACTATTCTGACATCTTTGAATTAAACATTTGATGCCAGCTTGAACCCAGAACACTGTAGTTAATAGAAAGTTTTCAGTACATCTTGAAGTCAAATTTTTATGACTAAATAAATTCCGTCTGGTGTTTGATTCATCCGTGGGAAAATTTTGCATATATATGTATATGTATACATACTCTTCACATATAAGGGAGTTAAGTATTTAAGGAGTCTTTTTTACAGAAAAAAGAACTCTTTTTTACACAGATAGAGAAGGAAAATAAGAAGGAGAAACTGACACTAAAGGCAGGCAAAACTGCTCAACACAAACACATTTCTTTGGAATGATTCACAACCTCAAGTCAATTAGAACACATACTTTATTAAATGAGAGACTAACTTCCTTCCTGGTGTTTCCTCCATTGGTTCTATTGTTTCTCTAATCTATAATTTGGAAAAACATACATAACTGAGTGCCCATTTACTACATGGTAAATAAATGGTTTTATTTCACTTCTTGCCTTCTCCCAGTTCCTTCTTGTCCCTCAAATGCTCCCAAGTCTGCCCAGCCTGAATTCTGTACAAGTCGAGCTCTTTTAACTGACTAGTGTATACCTCAGTTCCTCTGATGCATTTCACTTTATTACTCTACCCTCTTCGTTCTCTGTTGATGTCCTTTGGATGTTGCAGAAACTTTAGCAAGAACACTGCTAAATCATCAATGCAGAAATAATTTAGGAAGGAAAGTAGTTGTGAGGTAAGAAAAACCAGAAACGTGTAATTGAATTAGGAGAATTGTATTATAATAAAACCATAGATTTATAGGCCATTTTTAATTCAGTTATTTGGCATAAACCACAGTAAAATAAAATTGACATATGACTCAACGTACATACGAATTGAGGCACGGAAGTGGTCTATATTAGATTCTGTGTCGCAAAAAGTCTACCAAGGCAAAACACAATTCTTATTTCCTTATGGAAACATTTCCCAAAGAAAAATATCTCTTCAGTAACCTTATTAATAATTTTTTGAACTTATGTCCTTTATTTTAATTAAGCAGAATTATGGGTCTTGACTTTGTGTCCAATAACAAGCTGTGGTATGATTGCTGCTGTTCAGAAATCTGTAAATTAAATCAATGTGAACTTTATGATGAAGAGTAGTAAATTCTGTGGTGGTAAGTAGAGGGTAAGATTGGATCACAGTCATTTCTAATTTGCAATAACTAGCAGGATGCATTTCCTTCAGTGTGTTTAAAAAGTCACAGCAGGCAGAAACCCCATGTACTTACTCCCTTCTGCTAAAGTCGCGCTTTCTTCAGTGACTGGCTTTCCACAGCCTTTTGAAGTACAAGCCCTCAAGTAGAACTTGTATTTTGTTGTGGCACTGAGGTTTGAGAGGCGCCAGCTGGGCTTTGATGGAGTGGTGATGTTGATATCATTTAATTCTCCAATCTCATAGGTATCATTTACTAAAGAAATGAGCAAGAACAATGACTCAAATTTTATAGTGTTTAGCAATTGCAATTACTGTGTGTTTCATTTTTGCTTCTACTCATGTCTGTGGCATGCAAAAATTATTATTGTTATATTACTAGTTTGGTGGTATTGAAGATTGTATTCAGGGCCACGCACTTGCTAAGCAAGTGTTCACCACTTGAGCTACATCCCCAGCCCTCTTCCTCTTTTTTTTCCTTTAGTTATTTTTCAGATAGGAACTCAGTCTTATACCCAGAGTCAGCCTTGGACCACGATCCTCCTACCTACCCCTCCAGCATAGCTGAGATAACAGGTATGCACCACTGCACCTGGTCCAAAAGTTATCTTAATTAGTTATAGACATCAACCTACTTAATGTTATGGATACATATAGTTACTATCACTAGATCACACATGAGAAATCTGAGGCCAAGCAATGATAAATATCTTGTCCAGATCAAAAACCAGTGATTGCTACAATGGGATTTGAATCTAAACCACACACAGTCTTTGAGTACAGAGACTCTGTACTCAAAAAGACTGTGGTCAGTCTTTTTTATTATTCCGGTTACAAATAATAGACTTTCCCAACATCATTTTATTTTTACTGTGTCATTGACCTAAGGACTTTTAGATATCCTTTTGTGGGAATAATTTGGATACTTTTTGGTATATTCTATAGTTTCTCATTTAACATGTGGCAATAAAATAAGTACAGATACTCCTTGAATTTTAACAAGGTTATGATTCTCAGCCTTAGTAAGGATTAGACAAAAATATATTTAATACACCTAACCTACTGAATATAGTAACTTAGCAAGACAGCGCACAGAGGGTTGGATGTTAACCTTCATGGTTCCGTGGCTGACTGGGTACAGTCTTGTGCTGCTGCTGCCCAGAGTTGCAAGAGAGTGGGATACTGCATATCGCTAATCTGGGAGATGAACAGTAAGAATTTGATGTATGATATCTACTGACTGTGTATTGCTTTCACACCATTACAATGCCAAAAAATCCTAAATCAATCCATGGTAAGTCAGGGACTGTCTGTATTCAGTACGTGTAGAATCAATAAACTAATGAGTGAATTAATTATTTTTAGTTATCTACTATGCTCTAAGCACTATGTAAAGTGCTAACAGGGAAAAGATGAATCAGTTTTTTTTGAACTATTTGCAACCCAACAAGAACATGCCATTTGCATAACAGCACAAAGTACCATAAAACTACTATTGCTATAGGAGTAATCCAAGTAATAAAATGGTATTTTCAAGAACATGCAGTGGTTAGTGTCGAGAAAGGACTAGAAAAAAATACTGTTGATTCTTAAATACACTGTACAGTTAAAAATGTATTTATTATTTGCATAAAATGCATTCCTTGTTCTATAAAATGCAAATCAATCAACAAATAAACAAAAAAACACATTAGGGATCCAAACATTGGAAATAAGGAACTAAAATCATCATTGTTTATCAATTATTTGAGAACACTAATGTGAAACACCACAAAGTCAATTAAAAAAAAACTAACCAATAAAATAGGAAATCATATATTCAGCTGTCATATATAACAGTTTTTAGAATATATAATAGTAAAAAGTCTGTCTAAAATATCTCAAGTATTGAATATTAGTAGAAAAATAAGTAGCAATAAAATTTTATTTTTAAATGGACACAGTAATGACTATCAGAACCATTATAAATGTTACTATTTCAGTTCTGTATATTTTCTACAAACCTGTTTTAAAACAAATTTAAGTCTTATATACAAATAATATAAAGATTGGAATGTAAATGATGTTAAGTTTGTTATTGTTAAGATAAGGATAACACACATCTCTACCAAACAAAATGATTTTTGTTTTACAAGTTAATATTTAAAAACTCTTCAAATATTTCTTATTTGTGGATTTTTAAAAAAGTGGTTCATGGGATAGTGTAGGCTAAGAGCTTAGTATCTAGATGCAGACTGACTTTAGTTTGCATTTTTGCATGACACTTCTTTCATTGTGTGGCCTTAATAAGTAGTCTATATGTCTCAATTCCTTCATGGTGACAGTATATTTCTTATTTTAATGAAATGGCATAGGAAGAGTACTTAGTGCTAATCCTGAAAGCACTCAAATTCTAAAATGCTACCTCCTTTTGGATTTTTCCTGTATCAATTTTTTCCCTACTCAACAGAGACCATCAGAAACTAGACAGCAGCAGCTCTTTAAGTGATGTCAGAATAGCACATCAGGTTGACTTTTTGCAAATAGGATTCTCTGTAATCTTAGTGTTTTGGCTACTTAGAAATCTATGCTTTCAAAGTCTGATTTTTTTAAGGTTGGGCTATCAATAAAGTTTTCTATGATATCAGTCACCTAATTTCCATTTTGATATTATGCTTATATCTGAAGACTTCTAGGTAAGAGGTGGTGTGATTTAAAAATGATCTGATTTTAACAGAAGCATGTGCACAGAGATTATTCTGAAGAATGGTGCAAAGACAACTCTTGAGTCCTCTCAGTATTACCTGCCAGAACTGGTGGGATACAAATACAAGAGTGTATACAGGGTTGAGATTGCTATCAGGCACCTGCTGCAGAAGAGGCAGTATAGTATGGGACTTAGCGTGTGCTTTGAATCTCCCTTAGATTACTCACTAACTCTGTTTCTTTGCAAGCTTCTAAATTCTCAAGGCTTATGTACAATTAGTAAACACATGTTTCCTGGCACCCACTGGCACATTGTCTTACTTCTAGAGTAGTTGTTGGCAAGTCTTTCTATCAAAGGCTAAGTTGTAAATATCTTAGACACTGAGGACCATGTAGTCTCTGTGGCAATGGTTCAATCATGCCACTTTAATGAGAAAATAGCTGCAGGCAATATGTGGGTATGGCTATGTTTCCATAAAATGTTATTTAGAAGACAGGGGCTACAGTTTGCCTGCAGGCTAGTTTATAGGTTCCTGTTCTATAAGGAAATACACGAGCATAAAAGCCATGGACTTCAGTGTTTAATACATCATTAATGCAGCAACCCAAAACATTCAACCAAAAACTGAGTTTACTAGTACATTAACCCCAATTTGCATTTCTACTTACTTATCTGGTATTGTAATAAATAGCCAGTTAAATTTCCATTCAATTTTTTAGGTAGTCCCCAAGATAAAGTGACAGTGTCTTTGTCCACTTTGATGACTTTGAGAAAAGCTGGCTGTTCAGGAACTAGAAAACACAAGATCATGAATGGAATGCTCACAAATTAGTAAATTCCTGAAAACCAAAGAACATCCCATTAGATTACAAATTTTATAGAAATTGACCAGTTAAATCATATGAATCACATACTAACTATGAAAAAGGAAGGGAATATTTAATACAGCCATTGGATAATTTGCATTGTTGGCCTTTGTTACTCTCTCACCTCCTTCTGGTGTTTGAAATATATAAGGTTCACTTTCTGGACCAGCTCCTTTGGAATTATAGGCTAAGACAGTTAAATGAAATTCACTAAAAGCATCCAGGGAAGGAACCATTCCATAATTTCTTTGTCCTGAAAATCTTAGAATGTTCACTTCTTTGGGGTGTGTTCTTCCATCTAACAGACTTTTTGTTTTCCACCAATTTATCTGCAATGAAAATATGAATCTTTTAGCATAGTAACCATGGTGTCAGATACTCTTGGCTTCTTCTAAAATCAGTTCCTATTCTCAGGGAAGATACAAATTCAATAGCAACAAGAAGGAAAAATTGATAGAAACCTGATATCCTTTCAGATGTCCATGTACTCTGTCCTTTGGAATTGTTGACCAGGTAACTTTAACTAAGGTGCTGTTTATAATGTCCACGCCATGAATCACTGGAGCTGTGTCAGGATCTGTTAAGCATTTAAAATTAGTTAAGCTTTCAATCACTTCAAATATGATTGTGATGATCCTTTTCTAAAAGTGATTTGCATAAGGTTTAATCTAGGGAAAGCACTTTTTAAAAATGAATTCCAAATGGAACCAAGAGTTTCTCATTCCAGAGAAGTTTCTTAGTCCAAATGGGCTACATGGTACAGGACAGTCTGTACCATGCTGAGAAATCATGTTATCTACATTGGTTTATGTAGGGAAATATAAACAGAAACTCAAAACATTGTCCAGTGAAATATTCTTGGGATGTCTTGCCTTTGAAGGCAAATTAATTACACTAGCAACATAAAAAATGCCCTTGGAATTTGGCCAAATATTAACAACAACAGTTAACATTAATTGAACATATGCTGTGCTTCAGGCACTCTTATAAGAACTTGACCTGGGTTGGCTCATATAATCTTTAGAATAACCCTGTGAGATGGGCATTTTATCCCATTTCACAGGACAGATTACTACAGAGGAATAAACCAAAACGAAGCAGTCAACATAAATAGTTCACAAGTGAGAAGTTCTATATCTTTTAATTTGAGTAGTAAAATTTGAATGGTGGATGAATAAGGAATTATTTATCATTCTTGACCTTTTCTATTCTTGGATCAAAATATTACTCTGGATATTAGAAGAATACCGAGAATAACATCAGTGTGCAGTGATACAGAATGCAGTGTCTTCTCTCTTTCCAGCAAAATAATTGCCAAAATAATACCATTATGTTAATAGTATTTAATAATAAGATCATATCACCAGCACTTCAAAACTGTGTTACATTTATATAATTCCATATGAAAATCTGGGTATACATCTCATTTGTTTTGGGCTCCAGACATGTGAGTGATGCCCAAGGCAGGTGTCAGTGACTATTAGAACATCCTTAATGAATAATGACAAATTTAATTGAAAATGTCATGGCAATTATGCTGCTCAACTGGGTGCATTAATGATCCCAGATCTTTGATTTTCAAAATAGAAAAAGCTTTACTGGGATTCTGACTAAGATTGAAACTTTCAATATTACCTACCATTAATATTTTGAAAAATGATAAGCTTCTTTTTTTTTTTTTTGAGTGGTATTATTTTTATTTTTATTTTTTTTTATTTTTTTATTTTTTTATTTTTTTATTTATTTTTTTTCATTTTTCTTTTATTATTCATATGTGCATACAAGGCTTGGTTTATTTCTCCCCCTGCCCCACCCCCTCCCTTACCACCCACTCCACCCCCTCCCGCTCCCCCCTCAATACCCAGCAGAAACTATTTTGCCCTTATCTCTAATTTTGTTGAAGAGAGAGTATAAGCAATAATAGGAAGGAACAAGGGGTTTTGCTGGTTGAGATAAGGATAGCTATACAGGGCATTGACTCACATTGATTTCCTGTGCGTGGGTGTTACCTTCTAGGTTAATTCTTTTTAATCTAACCTTTTCTCTAGTTCCTGATCTCCTTTTCCTATTGGCCTCAGTTGCTTTAAGGTATCTGCTTTAGTTTCTCTGCATTAAGGGCAACAAATACTAGCTAGTTTTTTAGGTGTCTTACCTATCCTCACCCCTCCCTTGTGTGCTCTCGCTTTTATCATGGATTAAGAAAATGTGGTATCTATACACAATGGAATTTTATGCAGCCATGAAGAAGAACGAAATGTTATCATTCGCTGGTAAATGGATGGAATTGGAGAACATCATTCTGAGTGAGGTTAGCCTGGCTCAAAAGACCAAAAATCGTATGTTCTCCCTCATATGTGGACATTAGATCAAGGGCAAACACAACAAGGGGATTGGACTATGAGCACATGATAAAAATGATAAGCTTCTTACTGAAAAATCTTCTCTGCTGACTGCTTTCACTGCTGAAAGGGAGAAAGGCAAGCAGCCAGCCAGCTAAAGTTCTGTACTGATTATCTGTTCTTTGGTCATCCCTAAGATGAGAAGAATGCATATATTTCTTTTTTCTCCTACAGCTAGCATATTCTCTTTGTGTGCAGCAGGTGCTCAAATATGTTTATGCAAATGCAATGTACTTGAGAGAAAAAGTTCCTGAAGTGCTTAGGCTTTTAGGGTGCATCACTTACAGTCTTCCCCAGAATAGAGAGTCACTGACTGAGGCTCTGGACCAGAGCCAAGTTGATTGATGGCTTGGACTTGGACATCATAAGGAGCATAGACAGTAGGTGTCATCACCCGCAATGTGTGGTTTGTAACTGTTTCCTCTTCCCACTCCACTGGGGCTCCCTGTGGCTTCCAGGTCACTCTGTACTCCAGTCCTGGCCCATTCTGCTCCATGGATTTCAAAGGCTAAAACCAAAGCCAAGAGTCATCGGATGTAATTATAGATATGTTGACACAGAAAAAGCAGAGAATCAATCTAAATAGGCATTAAGAGTTTCTACCCTCTTTGGTTCGGAAATAATTGTGGAATTTTTTTGTCATTCTGTTAAGTTTGAAAATTATCAATGGTAAGCCCTCACCTTAGATGCCTGGGTTATGTCCTTGTGGTTAAGTCTGTTTTCATATATGAAAGAATTTACAAATAAATTCAACAGAAGAGTTTTAGCTTTTGCTTAAGCATTCCACTGTATTCTAACTTTCACTCCCAAAGAATCAGCAGAAGTAAAGACATGGCCATGAATTATTTGGTTGTGAATGGGATTCCCCTAAGGCTTTTCAGGCAGAGATCTTTCCTTCATCTGATGCCATTCTTCTAGGAGAGAGACTGAGTCAATCTTTAGTTTTGGAGAATGCACATGTTTACACTCTAGACCCAGAAGTAACAGTTCCACTTTATAATCAAGTACTTTTCCAGTTTCTTGACCATTCTGTCTCTATTTCTTGAAAACAAAATCCTCTCTTGCCTACTTCATTTTCTTGTACAGGAATGTTTGGTGGAGGAAGAACATCTATTATAGGAAATTTGTTATTTCTACTCTAGTTTTTAATTAAGCAATACTGTAGTTTTTAAAGTGAGATTTAAAATACCTGTTTAATTTCACAAAGAAGGAATTTTATTTAAATGATTTGGTTGTATAAAATACATTCAATATAAAATTGAATCCTAGATCATCAAGTTCACTTATATTAAGAATAATTTTGTGGTGTTCTTATAGAATTTATAGTGGGTCTTCAGTCAGTCTAATTTACTAACATACCTATTAGAGACATTGGTTTGAATTAAGTTGAAAGCATCATGCTGTATCAGCAAACAATGTTATGTCTGTTCCAAGGTGAGTTCTTAAATTAGCTCTGAGAGAAAAATATAGACTAAACAAAAACTCCCTGATATTTTCCTTAGTCATTTTTGTATGCAGTTTTATTGGAAATTTTGCTCCCAAATATTTGTCAGTATGATATGGCTATAAATTCAACAGGGACTTTAGAATTGTCCAAATGAATTACACCACAATCTTTTAGCTCCATACTGCAATCTGGAACTCTAATTTCCGTCAGCCCCTACTGAAAATAAATGTATAAAAATAATGTGATTCAATTTACACATGTTTTGCCCCATGGAAAAGAGGAAAATTTGATAAAGTTTGCTGACAAATTTTGAAATAAATTGTGATACTCTTAAGAAAAATATTATATTGTCAGCCTCTTTGATGACTGGGCTCCTGAAGAAACAGTAGGGACACTTTTATTTGACTTTGAGACCATGGCCAACAGAACCTTAAAAATTCTCAAATATGCTCCCCAACAAAGACAGAACAGAAGATAAAGGATAAAGCAGGCAAGAAGACCACAGCTTTGTTTTCCTCTCACAGTACCGACCATGAGGAATAAGCCTCTAGAAAAGCTGTAATTAAATAGGAATCTAAAGTCACTAGACGAGGGTCCACAGATGCCTCCAAAGAAACCCATGGTAATGTTGGCAAGATTTTGTAAGTGTAAAATTCTAGAAAAAAGAGTCTATACTTCCAACATGCTTCAAGAATTCTAAGAACCAAGCAGGGCTATAACTATCCATCTAGAAGCTGGACAGATTGCCACACAGCCTTAATCTTATTTTTTTATAATGTCTGAAGAATATTTTTAAATTGCACGCATTTATTGTGTATAATGTATTTCAAAATATGCATACATTATAGAATAACTAAATTGAGTATATTGCCTCACCTGAAGATCTTCTTTCAGAGCAATTTTCAAGAATACAATACATTTTTTAAAAAATAGTCACCATTTTGTACAATATTCTGGTTAATTCCATTTAATTCCATTTTAAAGCAGGTGAATTTTCTTATTACACTTCCATATGAATAATACAACCTATGTGTTTTGGAGGTTAAATAGCTTGATTGTAGTCATATAATTAGGTAGCTGACAAAGTGCCTACAGGCCAACATTAGTGTGGAATTTGGGTGGTTTTTTAAATTTGTTTGTTTGGTTTTTGGTTGGTGTTTTTTGCCTGTCATGTTTCAGCACTCAAAACAATGGATGAGTCATGACCACTTGTAATACAAGAAAAGTGAATTTGAGAAGATTATACCCACCCAAAAGACTAGTTCTAGCATTAGGTTAAAACTTAATATACATGCTTTTTTGATTGAATCCTGTTTAATGCTAAAACAAACAAACAGAAATTAGTGGTGTGCAGTTTTTGGTGGTGCTCATCTGTGTTCCATCATTCTGTGAAAGATCAACTTATTTTAAAAACAAATTGTTTTTCTCTGGTCATTGCTGTGTGGATAGGAATAATTCTGTGAGTTGTTTCCTGAAGGGGTCTGGTAGTTTCTTCACAGCATTGGCATATCCCTTTGAGAAAATGTCTGGAATTTAACTCTCTTCTACAGAACTGTCCATGTAAAATAATACTCAGTGAATAAATACTCTTAAGCTTCAATGGCAATGCCAAGAGTTATTACTAATACTTCGAAATCACATAAAACACAATGGCATATGTTATGAGCATAACTGTCAATCTAGTTCCTACTTCCTGGTCTGAGTCAATCAATTACTGCTGCATGGCATTTAGTCTTCAAAGACAAATTATAAACACTTTCTTTTTGTAGTCTCATTCTTACTGGAAAAGAGCAGCCTTGTGTGTCTTTGAGGGGGAAAAAGAATGACTTAGGAGTAAGAGAAGCAATAAGGAGGACAAAGATTCCTGCCCTGCTTCCATTATGGACTCAGTGCATGGTACCTGGGAGAGGGCAGTAAACAGATTCCCCAGCTTTTCTAAATGAAAGCAGGATGTTATGGTGTGGCCCACAGCGTGCTCAGAGGAGTAGTACGGATCCATGAGCTCACGTTAGTGGAACATGGTGTGATTCTCTGAGAAACTGAGTGGCAGATTACATATTATTGTGATCTGACCACTTACACCATCCATCTCTTGGAAATGTCCATGGAACTTAAAGAAGCATAAGACAGACATACTCTAAAAGCATAAAGGATTAACATAATTTCAGACTACAAGTAATTATTAAAACAATTTAGAAGTAACTACTTACATCTGCAAAATCAAGGAAAGAATAATATTCTTGGATACTTTTATTTTCTTTATATTATCATATTTTTTCAAATTTCTACATCTTAAATTTGTAAAGTTTCATTTACTGAAATGGAAATAAAGGGTGAACAATGACATAAAAATATTGCCTAAATAATTTCTAGGAATGCGTCATGTGAATACATAATAGTACAAAACCATTATATGAGGGTAAAAAAAGCAAGCATAACTTTATACATTTAAAATTCTTCCAAAAATCTCATACCTAGAATGAGGTATAGTATGTTATAGAATATATTTTTCAATGTCCTATTTTTATTCAAAGTTCAATGAATTCCATGTCAGAGATCTATCATCACACACGTCAATATACTTGTTCATAAAATATTGTAGAGAAAACAAATTCTCCACAGTTGCAGAAAAAACTTGGAAATGGTACAAGAATAATGAAAGTTATCTCAGTAAATATAAACTGTTTTGCCAAATGCAAAGAGTAAAGTGTATTTAGCAACACTTAACAGATAGATGTAAAGGAGGGAAAGTAGAATTTGAAGTCCAAATAACCCATATTTAAATCCTAGCACTGTTAATTTCTACTTGAATGGGAATAGGGAAGACATCATCTTGGACTTTAATTACCATATCTAAAATAAGGTGTTCTTTCTTGACAAGGTCATTCTCAGAATTAGGAATGAATGTAAAAGATGCCTATTGGAGTTAAAAAGTGCTGACTATAATTTTGGGATAATCCTTTTGTATAACACTTAATATAGTGTATCAAAAAGGTTTTTAGTATTTTTAATTTGATATATATACTGGGAATTTGAAAGTGTTGTTTACAAATTCCAACTCAGTCAACCTGTATAGTCTTCCTTAAATTGCTTATTGGTGTTAAGCTGTTCCACACTAGATAGTCTAATAATAATAATCTTTAAACTGTACACTGATGATAACTCAAAAATTTGTTTTATCTCTAAATTCGATTTCTTGGTTCTTAAAAAAATGTTCTGTCATTGTCATCAGCATGCAGATGAAGTAGGAAGTATGAGAAGGTCATGAAGAAATACCTAACACTTGAGGAATACACACCTCCCACTTTATAATCATCTCCTTGGGTTGAGATGCTTGAACTCTTAAGTTCTGTGGATTCTTGTCTGGAGCTGCAAAATGACAAGTATTAAAATTATTTTTCTTATTGCATAGTAACTTATAAGGAAATCATTCTTCTACTCTCTCTCCCAAAGACCAGATATTTAAATAACCTTGGTTATATTTATTAATTTCAATATGACCCAATTCCTAAAATGTTAAGGCAGCTTTTAACTATATATTTTATTTGAAAGAGTAAAATAGTGTTATTGGAGTAATATAATTATTGTCTAATTGATACTACATAGTTTGCTACACATAAGTTAAACTTAACCTGCTAGTTAAAATTCTAAACCTATTAAAAAAACCATGTTTTCATTTAAGCTTGCTGTACTTTTTTCAGTTAGAAATGTTGATAGAAATATATGCTGGGAATTTTTGCCTCTAGGAGAATAAAATTAAATATCATGTATTAAAACCAACAGTCAAGTTTGAGAGACTGCAAGAAAATAGCATGTAATGTAAACATGAAATATAATCAGATGGATCCATTTTACTAGAAAGAGCTAAGCCGAGAGTGTAGTGCTCAGTCCAAAATACAATAAAGTTTGAACAAGTATCTGTTATACCCTCCCCCGACACTAGGCGGGCACCCCGTTAGTCCTGCTATGCCGGTAGTGTCGTATAGAGCGTCCTGCCGGGGCGCCGTTTTCCGGCACACCCCGCTATCCAGAGCCCGGACGTCCTGTCCCCCGCCGCGCGTCGCCTGCGGGGCCTCCGCGGCGCGCACCCCACCGATGTCAACTTGCCCCTCTCTATTACAAAAGGAAATTATATCCCAGTCCTATTCTATTTCATGTATGAAAGAGCCCCCCTTTTTTATGTATCAATGCTATGACCACCTGATGCCGGCAGTTGCCCAATTTCAGTGAACAAAATGATGTGAGCAGTTGCCACTGCTTGACATTAGGAAAGAAAAAGCATCCTGAACAATTTAGATAGATATAAGCAATACGTGAATCCTAAATGTATAACTCGCAGCACTTAATCATCAGAACACATTGAATAATGTTAGCCAGGTGCCTAATAATGAGTAAAAATGTTGTATTCAGAAAATTAAAATTCTTGACTTGTCTTATTTCGAAACATCCAGTTAGAACTTTACTTTATGATAACTCTGACTTATAAACTCATCATATTTCTTATTCGAAACTGGTCAGAATCAACGAATTTATTATCATACAGTCCCTCAAGTTCCCTTCTCTCTAAGCCAAAAAGGAATTATGTAATACTTATGAAGACTATGGTTACGTTAGAATATTTTTTGTGATTTTAGCTTATTAGGAATTGGCCAAACTATTGCAAAAATCTTAAAGTCCCTACACGACGTTGATCAATCTTCCTATTTTTTTAATGTTCAATACAATGGAGCCAAAGTCAACACCACATCGACCCATTGTTAGAAAACCTGGTGTGAGCACTGCTTCCCCTGCTGGGTGGGGTTTCAGATGGTCTGGAATGGCTGGCTAGGTTGACTTCTCCCTACTTCAGTTCAAACAGCTATGATCCTGAACTGGTATCTCACAATAATGGAGCCAAAGGCAAGTATAACTGTTTTTCCTTCTCCCTGGACTCTAGTTAGTTCTTTCCCATTTCCAGGTTTCTTTGCTCTGTTTCCTTCAAATTGTATTAAATATCTGGAATAAGAACATGGGCAAAAACATTGGAACATTATTGAGAGCACTTAATGTTATAGCTAAGACTGTATATGTGCAATACCATTAAAGCGCTTTTAAAGGTATTCTCCAGAGATAATTGACCCAAGGAAGTTATAAAAAATGGCATATAATATTAATTCGAACCTTTGTTGGGTAAAAGAAAAATAGTTTATGCCAAGTCTACCTACCACTAATGATTGCTATTGGGTGGTATCTCCAGCCTTCCCAGGATAACGAAACTCCTATTCTGTCTTTCCAGACAAGTGGAGGTTTTTCTGGGGGAATCTGGAACATCTAATTGTAGAAATGAAAAGAGAAATGGCTTTAGGAAATGTATTGGCTTTCGTTGCCCGTGCTCCATTACAACCTCATCCTCCCCCTTGATCACAATTGCTAAAACGCTTCGTTCCTCTCTGGGTCGACTCTGAGTTTTTAATACTCTCACTAGCCATGGCGTTTCTCCTTCAAATGTCAGTTCCTGTACGTTTCTGGTTCCTACTTGACTCTATCATTCCTTTTCTCTTTTGGTTGCAACTTTGTCCCAAGGGCCACTCTGATTGACTGATGGCCATCTCCATTCTTTTATGAGTAAATTCTTAGCTTTATGAGAGTTTCCTCGCACACACATCTCAAAGTTTAGCAGAAGGAACTGGGCCAGGAATTTTACACGATTTGCAACAATATGGCTACCTGGTGAGGAATCAGAACATTCACGTTTGTAGGAACCTTGACTAGGGCCTCAAAAATGGATCACTTACTTTTTTTTGTTAATGGTTCTTCGGTTCTCTTTATGTGAGCTCAACTCTCTTATTTTCCTGGGGATACAAGTGACGCTTATGAATCCATCACGGTTTTTGGAATCAACTTACTTTCTCCATCCTCATCCTTATGTCTTATGCCTGAGTCTCTGCAATGTGACTATAAGGAATGTTCAAGATAAGGGAATCTTTTTGTATTAAACTTTGCATTATCCATCAATATTTGTGATAAAATGAATAAGTGGAAAATATATTGTCTCTTCAATCATGCAGCATAAATTCTTTTAAAGCAATTATCTATTGGTTTGATAAATAAGATAGGAAAACATGGAGTCTTTCTTTCTTTTCAACAACTGCCTTTGAAAATTTTTTATTGTAAATTTATGGAAAAAGAAGTTCTCATAAGAACTACAAAGCAACTTTTATACTGCTGGGCCCCTGGAGTGCTGAGAAAAGTAATAGTTTAGGAGGCATTTAGATTGGAACACGGCAGATTTGGCCTGGTGGTAAAATGTTGTTGATTAGAACCTGGAACTCTTGTAGGTGATTGACAAAAATTCCAACAGTTTGTTACAAGAACATATGTGGAAATTTCTAGTATTTTTAAAATAAAAACAGACAGCAAAAAGAAACCTTATATTAATAAATGAAACTTTCCCAAAATTTGCTCTCATTTTCTCAAGGATTTGAAGACATTTATCTTTGCTCAGAGGAGATAGTAAAGTTGTTATCCAAGGTGGCCTTTCTATCTCTGCTGGATATTTCATTTCTTGAAGATATGCATTGGCAAAAAGTATTGTTTCCAATTTAGAATTGAACATGCTTATTTTTAAATTGTGCTACATAACTATGTCCAAACATTAGGTCCTTGAATAAGGAGGTATGTCTTCAATAGTCTCTGTAGCTCTGAGCTCAGAGTACTTATTTTTCTCTTAGCATTTACTAAGAATCCACTAAGTTCTAGAGTTTCCTGGAACAAGTAAGGCAGCATCTGAGATTAAAATCTGACGCTTCCAAGCATCAGAACTTGCAACTGAGACTTTAAAAAAAAGATGCTCAAGGAACTTTATGCTTCTTATCAAAGCAGGTTATGTCTATGCTTTTAAAACTGTTTTCTAGGATAAAAGTCTTTTAGAAACTATACCTATGTCTCATCACTTATTACTGTCAGTTGCTGAGACAGCTTTTTGTAAACTAGATTAAAAATATTAGAATGCAAAGACAAGAAAGAAATTATTAAAATGAATCCTATCTCCTACAATACACTTTAGACAATATTTTCATTTTTGTTCTAAGCAATTAACTCGTACATAAACACTGCATATGATCATAAGCACTGTTTATTTTAAATTGCCAAAATTTAATGGTTTTAGGAAATGGTAGGGTAATCACAAGAATGAAATCTTATATTCTAGAAGGACTTTGACAAGGTAAGCAGCAAGTAGTAGTTAATCCCTTTGTCACTGCCTTTACTCAAAATCCTTAGGTACAAAGCTCATGAAATCACATGGTGCCTGAGATAAATTCCAGTTTGCCTGATGTTCAGCTATTCTATATGGTAAACTATTGTTGGGTTAGGATAATTACTAGAGGATTATATCTTTTTGTTCATAGAGTACTGAAGAAAGCTCACATACCTATGGCCAAAGGTACAATTCTATTGAGCCAAGTCATACCTTCTACAATCTTGGATATACTTTGTTTTCCCCTAGTCAAACCTAACTTCCTGGTCATTGGATTCATTTGAAGAGATCCAACCTGTTTACCTGTTTTCACCAGCCTGTCTGACAACAGACTGGATGTGTTCCTATCAGTCTACATCCTCCTCAGTAATCTATTTGTAGACCCCAGCAACCAGGATATTAAAGAAACAAAGGCCTATGCATAACAATGATTAGTCTAGACATAATAGATGAGTTTAGGCAAAATCAAATGCTTATAAAATACATCAACAAACTAAAAGAAAGACTAAGTGGTACCCCCACGAAGTAGCATAAATGAAACTATAAAAATGTCTATGGCAGTTAGAATCCTGAAACAAAATGTTAGGATATGTCAATAGTTTGGGGAGGTTGTTCTGTGGGTTTTTTTTGTTTTGTGTGGTTTTTAGTTTTGTTTTTTGGCAGTATTGGGGTTTGAACTCAGGGCTTTGTGCTTGCTAGGCAGGCACTTACCACTTGAGCCCCATCTTAGCCCTTTTTGCTCTGGTTATTTTTGAGACAGAGTCATACTTTTTCTGTCTGGGGGTCATCCTGGACCATGATCCTCCTGTTTACTCTTCCTGCCATAGTTGAGATGTCAGATGCATGACACCACACTTAGCTTTTTCTATTAAGATGAGATCTCCTGAACTTTTGCCTGGGCTTGCCTCAAACGTTAATCCTCACAATCTCAGCCTCCCAAGTAGCTAGGATTATAGATGTGACCCACTGTTCCCACCTTTTAATAATTTTAATAAAGGTTCTTTAGAAACATGTGGTCAGGGTGAGCAGAGGTGGTAGCAGAGATGACTTGAAATACTGGTGGTGAGTGAGCAGTTGCCAGAATATCACCCAAAAGAATTGTGTGGAAAACCCCCCTGCAGCAGTGATGACTTCAGCAGTGATACACAACTGGGCTGCTAGGAGGGAAATTAGCACTCTTCCTGCTATTCCTTGGGCTTCCATTGGGTGCATCAAATGAAAGCCGGAAGGCCAGTGGTATGCTGATGCTGCCTTTACCGGGCAGGTTGCCAGGTCAAAGAGCTGGTGGAGTGTGATCTGCATAAAAAACTGGAAAACACTCAACAAACAGTCTAAAAGATGTAAACGTTGTGATTTCAGTAGTAATTGCATTGGTTACACTAGTGAAGGGTCCATACTGTTTTCTAATTAGCATGATTGCTTTAAAAAAAAAAAGTCAGTTCTTCCTTCAGAAAATGCTTGAAGTCTCTCCCCATCCTTCCTGTACCCCTGGGATCTCAGTCTGTGTTTCTAGTGTAGAGCATGACCACTGTGCATCATGTTGGTTCCTCCCCATCCCAATCCTTCCACTCTAGCCTCCTCCTTCCCCATCCTCAGCCCCAATTCTCTGCACACAGCAACGGGTGGCTCTAGAGCTCTGGAATGCAAACATGCTTCATTTTCTTCCTGCTGATAGTATAGCTTTCCTCCTGAAGCTATTGGGAGCTTTCCCATGTAGGGAAAGGAAATTAAACATTAATTAATTTATTTTGTATGAGAAGAGAAGAAAGCCTTTGAAAGTGGGGTTACTTTTCAAACAAAACTATTTGTGTCAGGGCTGAAATAATCACAGGCTTTATCACCTATGAACCTGTAACTTAGGAAGCTATGGAGAAGACATGAGGAGAAATCTCTCTAGTTACTGCACTTACCGAGGACAGTTACTTGAGTCACCTCAGTAACACTATCCAGAGCAGTTTGAGCGGAACAGGAGTAAATACCTTGGTCCTCTAAAGTGACATTAGTTATGGTCAGATTAGCACCATCAATAGCTATCCTATTAGGAAAAAAAAGTATAAGAACAACAGAAATAAGAGAAATGCAATCTTTTCAAAGTACATCGTAGATACGTGTGGAAATGTCATGATGAAATGCATTTTGTACAAGTAAAAAGAGACTTATGGAATAAATACTTAGATCCTCTTAACTTTTGCATATTGGAAAAAGATGAGTTTGAAATTTAGACAAAGAAAATAGGCAGGAGAACTGGAAGTTCACAATACAAAGAACACACATGTCTCTTGGTAAGACACTTCATTACTATCTCTGTTAACTTGGTAAATGGCTTCCAAGACTGTGTCAGCTTGCTAAATCCTACTGAACAATTAAATACATGCATATTCCCTATGGAAAATGATTCATGGAAGAATGATACAACAACATCATACAATACAAAATTCATTAGGGAATATTACAGAGGGAAACTAGAAATAAAGCATTTGACAGTATACATCCATGTGTATATGGTCATAAGTGAGATCACATTTTAAAAAATTAGAAAATCCAGCCATCTGTGATGCATAGGTCATGATGGAACTATTTGCTGCCTGTCATGTCCAGGAAGTCCACTATGCTTCTAATAGCTATGATATATATGAATAATCCTTAAAATATGAATAGGGAGCCTTACATAGGTCAATTGGGATGGTTCTTATGAAGACATATTCCTGAATCCCCCTTCCCCCAATTCCAAAACTAGAATGTCTGAGTTGGAATCTGATAATCTCTACTGTTCACAGATTTTCTTTTCTCTACCCTCTTTGCCACCAAACAGAATGCACCTGAAGAGCTGGTATTACTCTATGTGATTTATTTGAACAGTAGGTGGCAGGCTAGTACTTCTGTCTGCAAGTCATTTCAACTAGTTTTTTATCATTTGGGTATTTTTGTTTTTTGGATTTTTTTTTACCAGTTTGTAACAGAAAATTTTACTACATGAAAATTGCTCCATTATAAATTATAATTTTTACCCTATACTTATGTATTGTCAAAATAAATGTTCATGCATTTTACAAAATAAAGCTCCATTAAATTTAAAATATATTAACACCAGTGTCTACTTAGTTGAAATAATGCAAATAGTGTCACTTTTGTGGGGAGGAAGGGAAAAATCTTATATGGTTAAATTTTTAATGTAAAATCCATTATCTGTGGGAAATTTCAAATATAAAAAACTACTTTAGATTGCAGTGAAATCAAACATGGTTCTGCCTTTTGATTGTAGACAGTCTCATTGCCACACCAATGACTAAACAATTTGCCAATCGATACTAGCTAATCTTGTTGATCAAGAATCTCTCTATAATTATTGACAAAATATAACTTTGAAATGAAATAATTTCTCAGTTCATGAAAGTTATATGACCATTGGACACAAAGCAGAAAGTTTCATACACTGACAATTGTGGAAAAGTTTACCTTCTTAGATGACTGAATAGATTTTCATCACCTTTACAAACAGGATTGCACAGAGCTTCTTGTTCACAATAGCCCATGTGAATTAAAATATTAATCAAGATTTCTATCCTGGTCTGGAGCTACTGCTTAGGCCAGAAAGAAAGGGTAACTTTTTACTAATTCATTGTTGCATTGTGCCTTTTTTTTTGAATCTTACAAATGTGCCTTAAGTAAATAATGAAGATAGAACAACATTAAAATTTGGTGGGTGAGATGTACCCAGGGAGATTATTAAAAACCTCATGCTCCAGCCTCAATCTAGGTTTAAATGAAAACATCTGAAGGTGGGCCAAGACCCATCACACTTGAAGATAAGTCCAATTCTGACACATCAAAATCTCACAAATCTATATTAGCAAGGACACAATGTGAGGTGCTGCAGTGACAAACAGCCCCATATTCTCAGCACGTAAGGCAGCAATCACATTCTGTTCCCATCATAGGTTGACTAAATTCTGCTTATGAAGTTCCACATATCTATTCTCATTGAAACTGTCTTTAGCTTCATCTTCATGTCTGTGCTTCACAATTTTTCCTCTGTTTGCCTTGCCCTGCTTCATTACCTCACAGGAGTAACCTGCTATCATCCTCAAACTTCTCACCTCCTTCATCCACAATATCCAGCTGGCTGGTCTGCAATCCATGTTAACGTCTCTTGTTGTTTTACTTCATTCTACCTACGTAATAGCCATTTTCACCAAAGACAATATGACAAAGTGATTCTCTGTGTTTGAGGCTTAGTTCTATCAATTATTACTTATATAATCTTGGGCAAAACACTGAGCCTAATTCAGCTGACTGAAATAATGGGGATAACAATGTGTTTTTCTCTTCAAGAGAAGTAATTGAGGTAAATCACATTAAGTGATTCATTTAAGCAGCCTGGCATAGTCTGTGTTCAGAGTATTAGTAATAATATTGACCAAGTTTATTTGTTTCTGGCTTATCACTAATCACATTTGCAGATACTTTAACATCACTAATCCCCATTTCTAATGCTTGCTTTCACAAATTCCCTTAGTTCATAATTTGTAAGAGGAGAGCCCTCATCACAACTACCCTACAATATTTGCATCTTCATTTGCCCACCTCACAAACTCCTCCCATTCATTTGTTGCCTTTCTGAAGGGGAAAGAAACAGCCCTTTCCTTTCTTGGCACCTAGAACAGAGCCTTCCCACTTGTGTTCCACACACCCTTTCCTCCTACACACTAGTCATCAATGTATTGCACAGCCTTCCCTCCCAAACCACTGTAATCTCTGCAGCAGAGCTGGATCCTGTGCCTTGCCTATGGTCATGAACAGTATCCATTGCATTTGTTTAGCACAGTATAAATTAAAAAAAAATTAATAGCAAGAGTGTAGCTTTTAGCTACCTGCAGAAATCCACAGAAAATGACAATCTGGCCTAACTGATAGGGTTGCTATGAAGTGCAATGAGGAAAAGATGTGTGAGAAATATTAGGATAATATGAGTAGACATAATGGTTGAGAGTCCATCCCCATCATCTACCATTGCCTTATATATGGAAGGTGACAGAAGGTAAGAAAATAATTTTCACTTTTCATTACTCCCTGTCTACCATTGATTAGAAATCTAACCCCTAGTTTCCCCAGCCTAGTGATAAGGAGAAAGTATTCCAGAAGAATGTATAAAGCAGAAACTTGCTGATAGTCTTCTAGAAATTTAGCAGGTGGCTTTGGTCTCAATTCTATGCCTGCCCTTCACAGAAGTTAAGGCTAGCTACAATCAATCCCAGCCTTCCCCACTCCTATAATCACTTGCAATCACTTCCAGCCAGCCCACTCCTGGAATTACTTCCAGCCCTCCCCACTCCTGAGGTTCTTCTGAGCTAAGGTTACTGTCCCACATCCCCATCACTTGTCTATGGCGAGCTGGAAGAACAACTGCAACCCTGCCTTAGTGCACTCAGAGAGTCAGAGATCTATGACTGACAATCCCAGCATCTTAAAGAAGTTGTAACTGGACCACACAACCAGGTTGGCAGGCCAATCTGAGGCCAAAACCTAAACGTACACGTCACATTACCAACATAGGTCTCTGATTCTCTTCCTGGATGTAGCCCAAAGATAACATGGCTGGCCTCAGATAATCAGATAGTAGTGGCAAAAGAGGGAGGATGTGAGTAGATATTATTAGTTGAAATATCAGCTGAGGACTAATCTGAGGATGAAGAGTTCTGTTGCAAAGTGTAGAGCTGTATGCTTAATATCTTCTCTTGTTTCAATGAAGACTATTTGCAATACATATAGTCACTTTCCACAAATCTTTGCATATACAGAAAGGAGACGAGGGAATGAATTTGGAACCAAGGATGAGGTCAATGCCTTTGAACACAGGTGGCAAACACACATGCAACAATAAAAATAGAGGCAAAGCAAGAAACAAAAGAGAAACACAGACTAGAGAAACGAGTAGAATGAAAAACAGTAGTGACACAGGAAGGTGCACATTGTATTTTCTAAGTACTAGGTACATTAACTCACAATAACCATATGATCAAGCCATTATTTTTCATAAAACTATGCTACAGAATGTAAAACAGAGGCATAAAGACATTAAGCAGATTGTCTGAGATCACAAACGCAGTAAGTAAACAGAGTTGATACTCAAACCCATGTCACTAGGCTTGAGTCCATTGTTTTAACCATGACTCTGCTGTGGTCTCATGAAAGGAGAGCATGTCTCATGTAAAGACCTGCAAATTTACTGTCCCAGCATCTTGATTAGCAAAATCTAACTTCAGATGCGATTTGGTTCCAAGACAGCAAAGTTTTAGCTCTTAATTAGTGACAAGGCAAAAGGAAGCAGAGCCAACCTCCACAGGTTTTGGAAAGACAAAGTAGGCATTCTGATTCTTTTCAGTCTATTGATTCTTTTCTCTCTTTGATGTACTTGATACCATCAAGGGCTATTTAGTGTCTATTCAAACTTTCATCTGTCTTCTATATTTTTCCTATTCAGAATGCTCAGAAAAATACAGGCAGCCTCCGTGTACATGAGTTCTACACTTGTGGATTCAACCATTGTGCATGGTAAATGCTTTTAAAAATTGCACCTTCTGAAAATGTGCACATATTTTCTTGTTTTCATACCTAAACAATATCTTATAGTGACTATTTACTTATCATTTACATTACACTGGATATTATAAATAATCTAGAAGTGATTCAATGAATTAGGGAAGATGTATGATTTAAGGCATAAGGGAGGTTATATCCAAATACCACACCACTATATATAGGAGACTTGTGCCTCCCCAGAGTTTGGTATCTTTGGGTGACATAGAACCAATTCCCCACAGATACCAAGGAACAACTATTATTGTCAATACGTCCTAGCAGGAGGAATTGCAGGTATAACTGAGGCTCTACCAGTGAGAAGGAATCAAGCAGATTGGGAGGTGGCAGGGAAACAGGCTTTCTCCAAAGCAGTGTAGGTGGACAGTGGCTTCCACAGGTACTGGACCCACCAGTAGCTCCAATAGGGTAGGATGACTGTGGAGACAATAGCCATGTCCAGAAACCTGGATCAAAGTTACAGTGCCATATGATCAAGAATCCAAAAGAGTAGTAAACAGCCTCTGTTAGGCCTGGCTTCTCCAGTCTTTCCAATGGTTTTGTAATTACCTGACCCCATGTAAAAAATCAGCCTCCAATACCTGGTGTTAATGCTCCTGTTTCATGCACTAAAAGTATGATCCACATTACGTGAAAAGTCAGTAGCAAAACCCAGCACATAAACATGTGATAGAAAAGTGAAACAAGTGTTATATGACCTTTAAGATAGTGACTGGAGAACTGAAATATACTAGTCAGGTTTTGCATTTTAATTCAGTGTGAAGTCAGGTTTTGCATTTTAATTCAGTTTGTATGACTTTAGGGCAACTTTTTTCCTAATGCGAGTTGTCAAACTCAAGCACAGATTATGATTCATGGGTTACTCACCTGCCATCTTCTGTACCATTAATTTCAAAGCCTTCTCCATCTTTGCTCCAGGACAGCTTCAAACTATGTTTCAAATGAGAGTCACATTTGCTTTCACAATATAGTTCAAGTATGTGTGATTTGGGGATACGAGGGTTCTTAGGAGAAACTGTAAGTGTTGTGGCATCTGTTTTACCAAACAAAAATAGTAGTTAGAACACAGAGCACAGCTTACTTTGCTATCAAGTGCTGGCAATTTAATCAAACAAAATTGTCAACATCATAGTCAATCATCATGTAATGCTCATCTCAACATCATTTTCAAAATCGTATATTGTTAGTATTTTCTTTCTAGTCAAGTGTGGGAATCTGTGCCAATTAATAATTTACAGATCTTATTATTCTTGGGTAAAGGGAATAAGCAAAGTGTGAACAAACAAATGCCTCTAAATGTTGAAATAATATCATTTCTCCTTCTGGTGCTTTTACATATGTGATCAAAGCACTATAAGAAAAAGGAAAGTTAGATGATTTTCCATTGAAATGATTTTGTTAATTCAGAAACTTGAACTTAAATGGTGAGCTATCAACAGGAAGGTGGAGAATTAAAAGTAAGCCCACAAAAGGACTAAGTAGGACTGTTTTATTACACAGCAGTATCCCCAGACCTTAGAAGGCAAGCTTGTACACAGGAGGCACTCACTCCATGCTGAATGAATTTCTTATTGAATGATTTCCAGTGAGTGATAGCTTAAAACAAAAATTAATTGCACTAGCAACAATGTGAAGTTAAAAGATTAAGAAATATTAAAATCAAAATATCAATGATGCACAAGGGCTATCAACAGTTTCCCAGGACTGCCTTAAAGAGACAAAGAACAGAAAGGTGATTATGATTTAAAAAGAGAACAGCAACAACAACAAAAATTCCCTTTCATAATTTAGTCTTTATGAAGCAGACTTTCCATGAGTTTGTAAAATTTTTAGCTCAAAGTTGATTATTTGTAATATTATTTGAGTTGCCTATTAAAATATGCTAACAGAAATATTCCAAAACAGGGAATTTTTTAATATTGCTGGCCATCTACCATGAAGATCACTTAACTAACTTCCTTTTCAAATTGTATAAGTCCTCGTATACATCATACCCTATCAGGCTTGCAATAATCTTTTAGATGGAACGCAACCTAACACTTTTAAAAACTGTTCAAAAGAACTTTATCAGGTATACAGACTTAACTTACATTGTTTCATTTGCAAAAATAAAGACAAACTAAACCCATCTGAGAAATCATGCAAAGTAAAAATGAAGTAAAAATACTTCGAATATCCAAACTGGCTGTGACTGCAGTTTTTCCTTTAGCATTTTCTACCCAACAAGAGTAGGAGCCTGCATCTTCCTCGGTGGTCCTGTTGATCTGTAATGTGCCATTGCTGTGGACATGGTAGCGCCTGCCTTCAAGGGGTTGTGCTTCATCTGCTGTCTGCCTATGGTGACACAAAGCATAAATCAATGACAGGTGTGACAGAACGGTATACCCTTTTGATACTGCTCACTAATGTCACATAGCTCATGCCTTCCTCAGAGAGGACATTTTGAGATGGTCTACCTGGATTTACATTTTTTTTGAGTTGGTCATGTATGTACATCTTATCTGCCAAATAGTCTGCAGCTAAAGGAAATTCCATCCCTGCCCTGTGCTCCTGCTGTTTTCCCCATGGCTATCAGCACCATTTTTCATTTGTCCTCAGAGCTTAATAAATATTTTCTGGCTTATTGGTGGTAACTCTTTAGTTAATGATTGCTCTAGGGTACTAAATGGGAAAGCAAGTAATTGAAAGAGATAATGAACCTTCTGAACCTCCTGCTGTCCTGGGAGAACATTGGTCATTCAGAAATATTAGAAGCCAGAAAGTCTAGCCTCTTCTGTGGACATGGATTACAATCACCTCATCAACCTCAGAGTCATTTTCTCCTACATTCATCCATTTTCTAAGCACTTCCTGCCACAGCTTGATTTACCCTGTACATTTCACAATAAGTAACTGCTCCAGCTAAAATTTACAATTGTGCTGCTGCTCACAGAGGCTTTTTGAGGCAGGGACTAGGCTGAAGGAAGGGAGGGCCTAGTCTCTGACACAAAATTTAACAGGGTGTCAAAATTTTCAAGATAAATAACATTTTAATGGAGTATTTTTCAAAATTATTAAATTCAAAACATTAAAAAATATTGCCAAAAGTCCATGATGCACAAAATAACACAATTTTAATTAGAGACAAGATCTGACGGTATTTGAATGACCTGACATCACTCCTCTCTTCTAACACCAGGTCCTACAGAGCAATGGTAAAATAACTTAAAAGCAATTTGACCAAACTTTTTCATTAAAGTAACCAACATGGTATGTCCATATGACAATATGTTTGAATATAATTGAAAACCAATTGAAATACTGAAATTAAAATCAAAGGGAATATTGGTAAATTTTTAAACATATGTATTTGGAATTAAACTCAGGTTAATTATTTAGATAATCCTGAAATGACAATAGTAAAGTAAAGTATGACCTTGGATAAGCCCATGATGAAAACAAAACCTATCTTTAAAGTTGTCACTTCACTTCTTTGGTTTTCTTTATGAACACAAATGGCTCTCTATATTTTCCCATGTGAGAAGATCCTAGAAAACTAACCAATAGTTTCAAGAGATGCAAGTAATTGAGTTTGTTCCTTTATTTCTCAGAGGCATTGGCTCCATGCAACAATATGGACACATTGCAGTCCATCAAATGATGGATGAAGAAACAAGACAAAATCTACCCCAGCCATGCTTCTAAGAAAACAGCATACCAGCTTACCAGGTCACTATTGCCTCAGGTGAAGCAAAGAACTCACAATGCAGGAAAGCACTGTACCCAACCACAGTAGCATAATTTTCTTCATCTTTAGTTTGTATCAATGGAAGAACATCTATTTGAAAATAATAAGATGACTTTAAATCTTCTTTTAAGTACAATGTACAGGTTACATTTTTCTATGTCATTGCCATGTTAAGAAGAGTGGAAGACTATTACAGTACATATTCTTGAATTAGAGAAGTATTCAAATTCAATACATTTTGAAAGTGTAATTTCAGTATGAAGGCTAATGCCAGCATACAAGGAGAAAGATGGCTTGATTTTTTTCCCCCAAAGCTTTATGTGTCAAGAATTCATCTGGTACCTGTGACTATGACCCTGACCATTTTCTCTCAGAAAACAACAGGTTAAGTCTGCTCTCTAGTACACTCACCCAAAACATCTATATTAGCATTGGCCAGAATGGTTCCATGGACATTGGAAGCTTCACACTGGTACACAGCAGTATGATTCGGCTGTAGGTTGGTGAAACTGATTTCTTGGGGGAAGACTACATCATCCTCAAATGGATGATCTAAAGGAGATGAAAGAATGTCACTATGATAAAGATTAGGACATAAAATATTTATGCACCATTTATTAAATGTGTCACACAGCATTTATATTTTAAGATCCAGTTTAGGGTAAATAAAAGTTCACTGAAGCCATGTTCTTAGGTTTTCTTACAATCAACCCTAGTTTTTCTTTTCAGACTCTTGCATTTTCAACCTTCCTTCAAAGAAATACTTACTGTGAAAATAGCTGTTCATCTACAATTTACTGCCTCTCCATATTCCTGTTTACGCTAAGACTCCATATGATCTGTTTGGCACTCAAGGCCTCCTAAGAACTGACTCTCACTTATTCTTCAGAATAAGGTCCAGATTATACCCAGCACAAATCACATAGTCAGCACATTGTGACTTCAGTAATCCATAAATATTGGCCCCTGCCTTTGACCCCTCTATTTCTGTTTCGCTTTTCTGCCCTTCTGCAAATTTCTGACGCACATTATTCATTTCATGTGCCTTGATTAACCGTTTGACCACTTCAGGTTGTGGCTCATGTACTTTACTTTCCCAGTAAGATTACACCCTTCTTGAAGCTGTGGCCAGGTCTACAACTTTTTTGGCAATAAAACCTACCCACTCCTGATTCTAGAACTAACTTTTGGAAATAAGAATATCTAACATTTCTGGTGCATTTATTAAATGCCAAAGAGCTCCACTGGATGTGGCCCATGCATTATTACTTCAGCTCTGCTCAGAACTCTTGCTGGATCAGCATTTAGGTGATCATTTTAGAAGTTAGTTTCAGAGAAGACGAATGACACATCCCACAGCTTTTGGCAACATTTCTAGCTCCAAATCCCGAGCCTTTTCTATGACACTACAAAATGAAGTAGAAAGAAAAACTTACTGCCTAGAAATGTTGAGAGAAGGTTAAAGATGTAAAAAGTTTTACTTTAAAGGGTAAGAGTGACACTTGAAATGTTTTCTCATTGTGTTTCCATTATGCAAAATAGTAAGTGCATTAAATTTGGGGTTATAGAAAACACTCAATCTTACATATTTTTAAAAGGCTTTTTTCTTATACATCCTTTTCTCTCTGGGAGTAATAGCTGAATACATTTTTTTTTTTACTTGACTGCAGCAGCACCTGTCCCTGTGGTTGTGCAATATGTCCCTGGCTCCTGAAGAGCTGCTCTCACAGAGCAGGCCGTCAGTAAATACTTGTTGAAATTGCTGAAAAATTACATTAGGTTGCACTTTATTTATGAAAGGCCACCATTTGTAGGCAGAAAATAGTCCCTGAAAGATGACCATGTTCCCATTCTCAGAGTTTGTGAATGTTACTTTACATGGACAAAAGAACATTGTAGATGTGATTAAAGTTAAAGATTTCGCAATGGATTAATTATCCTGGGTTATTCTGGTAGTCTCCATGTAATTACACTGCTTTTTAAAATTAAAAAATCTTTCCTAGCTATGACCACAGGGAAGCATGAGAAAATAGACAGATGCAATGTTGGTGGCTTCAAAGATGGGGGAAGAGAGACATGGACCAAGGTATTCGAGCAGCCAAAAGAAGATAGGAAGGAACACAGCTATACTGACACCTTGATTTTAGCCCAGTAAAACTCATGGGAGACTTCTAACCTACAGAATTGTACAGTAATAAATTTGTACTGTTTATAGTCTCTGGTAATTTGTTACAGCAACATTAGAAAGCTAAAATAATCCACTGGAATGATTTATCATTGATCTTTGAATTAGCAAGATGAGCACATTTTCCAAGTTTTTAAAGGCAGAACTCTTAAAAAATACTGCAAGGTCTATATCTCTGATTTCACTCTCCACTCATATATCCTCATTCAGATTTCTAAGCCTTGCAGAGCTAATCTTTTCTTCCCCTGCAGTTCTTCTGGTCCCACTTGCAGCTCTCAATCAACACAGCATGGTAAAAAAAGAAATGAGACTAGGGCCTCATGTTTGAGGTGAAAAACAACTAAACATTACTTAAACCCATCATCTGGGAACGGACATGGGAATTGCACAATATGCCACATAATGACAAAAGAAAATCAGAGTCCTGAAGTACACAAAAACCAAGAGTTACATAATATCAACCAAAACTCTAGTCTTGCCATAACCCAGGAACTTTTTTGTGTGTGTCAATTTTGTCTTTTGTCAAATCTATGGGAAATAACATGAAATGGTGGGACAGACTTGTCTTCTTGACTTCACTTACTTCTGAGTTCCATCTCTAGTAAGTTTAATTGGCTTGTGTTTCCACGCAAGTAATATAACCTCTGTGGGCCTCAGTTGCTACATCTGAAAACTGGAGAACAATGAAATCTACTTTTTCATGGTAGCTGTATGTCTCAGAAATACTGGATGCCAAACATGATAAAGGATAGGCCTATAATCAATGACAGTTGTTGGAGACCAGGCATGAACCCTGGACTGGGAAATAATAGAGCTTGCACAGCCTCTCCATAGTAGGAGCTTGCAAAGCTTCTCCTACCATATTTTTCCCAGCACCTGGTGTCTTGAGCTCTGTTCCTACATCTCCTTGAAGAAAACAACCTGCTGTGTCTGCATACCAGCCTCCTAATGCAAAACTAGATAAGTACCAGAGCTATTTGGAGACTCCCTGATGCCAGATTAATCAATACCTTAGATAAGGTGTCCTGCGTGCCTTGATGATTCCAGAACTGATGTGTCGTAACTAAGCTTCATTAGCCTTAGGAAAATTAGCCCACCAAACCTCATTCCTTTCACCTTGTATCAAAGAATTATTGAAGCTTGATTTTTACCTGAGTCTTTTCCTTGTACTGACCTGTAAAACAAACACTCTGGCTCAGGTAGCACTCACGTTCCCCACCAGGAATGTGCAGCCCTCCCAATCCCACTTTTCTGTTTTATGTCTGTATGTCTGTGTGTGTCCTTTTATTTCTCATTACCTGCTGCTCTTAGTCGGGTTCACTCAGTATACCCACGCAGGTTGCAGGCAGACAGTATTCATTTTGGTTTAATTTTGAAATGAGACGAAGGATTTAATTCCTAAATCCATAAAATCAAAGAGATTTCAAATTCTTTAGTGCACTGTCATTTACATCCTAAATTGTGAGTGCTTGAGACCGCTCTTCAGGACAGCAAGGACAGCTGTAGCTAAGAGCAGTGGCAAGAACACTGAATTTGGGTTCCAAAGGTGTGGTTGTGGTTCCAAGTCTGCCATTATTCAGCTGTACTACCTTGCATAGGATAGCCACACCCTTCTCAACAAACCTGTCGGGTTTATTTTGGGAATAAATGTTGAATGCAACCACTAGTATGACCAGTCTAGTCCAAAGTCCCCATAATCTTTCAGACAATCCCTACTGGAGTCATCCACTTAAAGTCTATTCAGAAGCTTTGTTAAGACATAAGTCATATAACATCACTCTTCTGCTCAAAATCCTTGAAGAGTTGCCTTGATAAAACTCCAAGTCACCATTTGAGTTTTACCTTTTCCTATGCTCTGGTCCTTTTACCTCTTGGTTGATCTCATCACCCAGTGCATTTCCTTTCTCACTCTCTAGACTTTGGCCACATTGGTCTTTTTCCTCCACAAGCCACAATCACTGGGTAGATTTTACACTCACTGACCTCTCCACCCCAAAAGCACTTTCACAGATATTAAAGGACTCACTTCCTCACCTTCTTCAGGACTCTACTCAAAGGTAAATTACCACAGGGGATTAACGATTATAATCATAAAACAATACAGAAACCCTACATCCCAAACCTTTCACACTTGACCCCTTATACAGCAATTTTGTTAGTGCACAATGTAGTAAATGCCAGCGCTTGTCTACTGAGTATCTCTACACTACGATATCGGATCCAGTAGAACAGACATTCTATGTTTTTCACTGCTGTGGTCCAAGCAATGAGCCCAGTGTCCGGCATATAGGAGGTGCTCAATATATATTATTGCATGAATGAACTGTTGAATACAAATAATCATACCTCCTTTATAATGTTCTTTTTGTAATTTGTGAATGCCTTTCATAAACAAGCAAATATCAATCAAATATTAAATTAGAATCTGCATTTTAGCATCTAACTTTCTTATAAATAAAATTTATTTCCATTTTCCTTTATCTAACCCTAAACCTCATTTTTTTTACATTTTTTATTCTGTTCCTTAAAGAGAAGAGGAAAAGGTCTCATATTTGAAGATAGCAATAATTAAAGACTAAGGCTTCCTGAGTACTTGTCACGTGAAAGCAAGAGCAATTAGCAATACTTTACAGTTGTTGCTCTAGTGGCAGAGCCAGTACAAAGCATTCTCTGAATGGTTTTTCATTTAACCCATATAACCAACCCACCTCTCACTGTGCTTTTCATATCCTTTTAACAGAAGAGGAAACAGGTTTTAAAAGGGTAAGTAATATCTCCAGTCACACAGCAAGTAAATGGCAGGGCCGGCATGCAAACACAGAGTTTATAAATGACCACAATGCACTGGATGAATCACTACCCTAGGTGGTTGACTATATTTATCTCACTCAGTCACAATCAACTACCATCATTTCCATTTTTCAGTTTAAGAGCTTAAGTTTGGAAAATTCAGCAAATACTCATTGCCATACAATAGAAGGACACACAACCTAGACAGGACCTATGACCATTTGACATGTCATACGTCTAATATTGTATCTTCTCTCAATGGACCTGATTAACTGAGTTATAAAATATAAGTTCAAACTGAGAGTTTCTAGATTTTAAGCTCTATCAAGCAAGGTGCTCAGATCTGGCCCATCCCAGTCTTTCCATGTTTATATATCTAGACGGCTCAAGGCTGACCGGGGTAGTGGGAATTGGTTGAAAACGAACATGGATCTGAGCACATTGTGACAGGTCAGGCTTGGCATGTCTCCTGTCCATAAGGATTTTTCAGGCCATGGAGACAAATGTGACCAAGGATGTCCAGAGCAGGGGCCAAGCCCAGAATAGGGGTCACTGGTGCCTGGGTATAAGAGATGTCCTGACTTCCAAACTATGTCCTCAACCTCTTGAGGACATATCTGTTTCTTCTGGGGGAGAGGAACAGTTGTCTTTCCTCCTTGAATGCATCCTCTTTCTCATTCAATTGGGTTTTTTAAACTTAATTTTATATGCAATTGAAATAATGACTTAACTGTATTACATTATTTATGGCTCTTCCATGAGTGTCACATTCCAACAATCTAATTGATTAGAAAGAGACACTTTCTAATTTCCTAGTCAGATATGTTCTGGTAATTCAGCCACTTCCCAATTGTACTTTACACACACCCGGGGTGTCTGACAATTCCCTATCCTCCCAACCACTGCCCTCTGCATTGCATTACACTTACTGTCAACTGGAGAGCCATTGACTCTCCACTTGATTGTAGGTTGAGGTTCTCCTTCAGCCTCACATAACAAGATCCCATTGCTCCCTGTGCTGTACACACCACTCTGAGGTTTCTTTTTCCAGCGCGGAGGCTCTGGAAGCAAAGTGAAAAGCTTATCAACAAAATTATCTACACCAAAAGATCCAAAAATGTTAAGTTCTGCACTTCTACTAAGCACCAGCAGAGGGCAGGCACCACAAAGTATTTCACAGTAGCTCTTTTTGCAAAATTTGCAAGCAAGATGGGTGGTATTTTTGTGCAGTATGACCTGTGGTGTGTGTGTGAGTGTGTGTGTGTGTGTGTGTGTGTGTGTGTGTGTCTTATTAGTGCCGACTCTAATCATGTTCAATAAATCAACATACTAAAACAGTCATACCACCACTTTAGCTACACAAGTATATATTTCACTAGCAAAAAATGAGAGAGGAATAGCAGATGGTAAATTCATCTAGTGCTGGATACAGCTTATCTTCAGGCTGAAGCATGTCGTCTGAGAAAGGCTGATATTTGAGTATTTGAGGAATATATTTAAGAACTTTTTAAACAGAAGCAATTAAAAATTTCAACACTACATTTCTTTTCCTTTTCCCTCACTCTTTCTCTCTCTCTCTCTTTTTTTTTTTCCTGGCAGTACTAGGGTTTGAACACATTGTGTTACACCCCTTGAGCCAAGTCCCTTTACCCCTTGTTTGCTTTTAGTTATTTCTCACGTTCTTGCCTGGGTTCTGGCCTTAGATCATATTCATCCTACATATGCCTCCACAGTAGCTGGGATTACAGGTGTGACCACCATACCCATCCCTCAACACTGCATTTCTTGATTAATGACTTTATCTATAGCTATTTATCTAACTAATCAATATGGAAACTATGACTTGCTAGAAATTTTCTTCTTATAAAGGAGCAGGGAGACAAGCTGAAAAGCAACATTTGACTTTTTACTCTCAAAACAATGGAGTAAAACATATATATATATTTAAATCACATGCAAATTTCTATGCTCCAATCTTCCAATAATATAATTCTAAGTGGTATTTCAAAACAAAATGAGACATTTTTCTTTAGTTCAAACATTACTGTCATGTTTTGTCACCTTAAGAATATTGTTATGTCAACAGTGAATAAAAGATTTAAATTAAAGTGTGGATGGTATGAATGATTTGATTTCAGAGAAAATTGCATAAAACATGCAGGTAGTAATTCCCATCAAATCTTGCTTGGTTATTTCCCCTAAGATGTTTTAGATTTCAGTTTTTATTTAAAAATGAAACTCTTTAAAGATATAGGTATGCATAAACTGAAAATTATCTTTTAATGTTTTTAAGGAAAAGAAGACAAAAGGGATTACGTAAAAGCAAAATACCTATAAATTCACTAGGAGAAACAAAATTATACAAATAACTCTGTCAAGTTCAAACTTGTGCAAAAGAAATGCACTTGTAGTTATTCCACAGGGTGTCGACTTAATTATTAAAGTCCCAGTTAAATATCTGTATTCATAATATATAAATCTGGATATCCTGAGTTAATGCAAAATTCAGTAGTCTAAATTATAAACCATGGATCACTTTCAGGTGGTGTGTGTTTCTGTTTTACTTTACAGCTTTTATTTTCCTTTTAGATTTTGATTCTGCAATAAAATTTAACAGTTGTAAATGTGAGGGAAAAGCTCTGTGAACATGAAATTTTTCTTGCATCACAGAAAACTATGACTACTGCTTTAAGAGCATGAAAAAATAAAAATCATGGTATTTTTCTAAGTATTCCTATGTAATAAAACTAAGATTTCTATTTGCATTCCCATCCTACAAATTTCATTAGTGTCTTAAAGTATATGTTGAGATGATCTTTTGCTGTTAGGGTAGACAGAAGTTATAAGCTATCATCTCTTCTTGTACTTTCACCTTACAAAAAGAGGAATGAACACTGGAGAAGTCATTGAATGTAACAAGGGTCATCAATGAAGAAAACATCCCTACATCCTGCTCCTGCCACTCCATGCATCTGTGGACAGAGGCTATGAGGAAGCAACACTGAGTCTCAAAGCCATGTGGTTAGTTTCTAGCTCACTGCTATCTTATAAATCTAGACCAAATAATTCAATTTACCAACTCTCTCCTTGTACTTCAAATCCAGGCTCCCCAAATGTCTATGAACAGACAGGAAATTTCAAGCATTCAATAAGGATCATGACTGAATTTAACCTTAGGCCTTCTTCATAGATTTGACAAATGATTGGAAATTCACATCTGTGCTTCTCTTGCAAAGTAAGCTAGTGCTGTGAGAGGCCGACTTCTCTATGCAATCTGAGAGACTTCAAGCCTGTCTTTTCACTGCCCTCACTTCCAGTCCACTCTAATTATTGACTTCAGTGGTTGAATATTCACTAGTTCAACCACTGAAGTCAATAGAGTTCTTAGACTAAGATTCCTGTGTCTCCTCTGCTTGTTACAGTGTCTAGCACACAACAGATACATGTAGAATACTTTTCAGGAGCAACAAAAAGATCAATTCCCAATGGCTCCAGTGAAAAAGATAGGGAAAAACAAAGCACCTTGGGTCGGAAAGAACCATGGCCTTCTAGTCATTCACTTCCTTATAACTGCATGTATTTATTGAACATATTAGCTAATGTTACTTAGCTCACTAAAGAAACCATAGTGTGCCTGGAGACATTAGATTTGAAATGAGAAATTTGGGTGGTTGGGGTACAGGCCAGAGGCAAGCAGGGACAAAGAACAAGCAGATGTTTTCCAAAGCTCAGAGTACACAAGTGGATATGAGGTAAGAACTAGTTGAGAGGATGAAAAAAACAAAGAAAAACAAAAAAACAGACTCAAGAGAGAGGAAAGGATGGTTAAAATTGAAGATGCTGGAGGAAAAATCATCAAATCACATTCTTTTATCTATTATTGTAAAATATACAGTACTGATAAAAATTACTTATCTTAAAACTTTACCCATTTGATCACTATTTTAAACAAAAGAGCTAGGGGCACAGCTCAAGTGGTAGAACACTTCTCTAGCAAACACAATACCACAAGATAAAAATTAGTACTGCAGTTCAAAAATTAAAAGAGAGACAGAGAAGAAACAGAAGGTAAAAGGAGAGAAACTTGGTGAAAACAAAAATTAGACTATAAATATAGTTTATGCTGCTGAAAATGGAGATACAAATGTCTGAACATTGACAATATTGTATGCAAACTAACAAGCAAACTCTATCATTAGAACAAATACTGTACACTTGGAAATTTGGTACTTATCAAACACATAACACAGTTGGTATTTTAAAGTAAAACTCATCACAGATTCTCATTAAATATTTATATTCTAATAAGTCAAATTGTTGGATTCATCAAAAGTTGTATTTAATTGTAACTTTTAAGAATAGATTTCTTAGTTGCAAATGAAATTTTCTTCAGGATATGAGTACAACCCATTTTGGAATATATATATACATAAATAATTTACTAATCAATAATTTCTATTACATTTCTAAAATTCAAAAACCTTAAATGATTCAAAATTTGGCAACATGAAAGTTTTGGTAGGAGCTTATATTTAAAAAATCAGAAATGTGATCACAATCATATTTTTAATTTTGGATTTAGCATATTTCAAGTGTAATTCTAACAAATCTCTTTTTACTGTATGTGTAATTCTTTATACCATGTATACAAAGAAAGTATAGTTATGCTGAGTTAAGTCATGGGGATGGTTTTGCTTATACATAAACATAGGATTTGAATTTTAGTTTGATTTCATATTCACAGTGTCATAGCTTAAACTATAAGCTCATAGAATTTGAGTTTCATATTTGGGAAGAAATATTGCAAACAGAAAAAATATAATATAAGCTGTGCTCTCCTGTAAGCACAAAGGATATCTTCAGAATGGACTAGAATTTCAAAACATACACTAGCATTGCTCTTCTCCCATAGGGATAGTCCTTATTATTTAATTTTGATTTCTAAGTGAGGGGAAAAATAAGGAAAGAGAAGGATTTAGGGATAAAGAGAAGATAATTAAGTAAAAGTGAACTCTTCCATCCATTCAGATGACAAATGAAGATTATATTTACTGCTTTTACTGCTTTTTACTTTAAGAAAAAAAAGACTTCTTGAACATAATTTGTTTTTCACATGCACTTTTAAGCCATTCAACTGAGGGTACATCTAGTAGTTTGTAACTAACAGAAATGATTAAATGTTCCTCATAAAAACATTATTTACATCTCTACAGTGCTAATAGCAGTTTTATGCATAGTGAGAATAATTTGTTCAGGAAACATATATTCTTTTGGTGTCCTATAGTCAATAGTTTAAATTGCATAATTAATTTTATATCTGATGATTTTTTGCAACCCTTGCAATTCTTTTGAATGCTTCAGTCCTAACAGTCAAGAAAACTATGGCCAGATTGTTAAAATATTCAGCTATCATAACAATGTTCCAGCCATCTGGAAGGATTTCTACTAGTCAGCAACTTGGAATAGTAGCAGTTAACAATTCGACATGACTGGTTCATGTGTCCATACACATGTGCTGGAGAAGGGACACAGGGTTATGGGAAAATATCCCTGTTGTATGATGTAGCCAAATTACAAAGAAGTGTCAAATGATGACTAAAATTATAGATAAAATAAATCCCTTAAATTCTTCCTCTCTGAGTTTTGTGAATAATTTATTGTCAGAGGAATATATTACTGCTGCAGATGTGGTTGTTAATGCACAATATAAGAGACTATACAGGTTTTGCTTTTATTGAACAAGTGAAAATAAAATTCTCATCTTTGGCTTTCTACTTTTCCTACCTTAATGAATCATACTCACTGTGAGGAGTTTGAAAACAGTGCTATTCTGAAAGGGGCATGACTAAGTCAATTATGGTAACATTTACTTGTGAGTGGAATTTATGTCTGAGTCTTTTTTCCCCATTAATTAAAACATCAGGCCATTACTTCAGTGTTCATTGCGCAAACTGAAGCTTTAAGAGGTGAACTTTATTGGACTATTAATGGAGCCCTGGAGCACTAGCTCACTAAAAGATAGCCTGGGAAAGACAATTTCTTTCAATGGTTAAGTCTACGCACACACTAAATAAGTACAAATGCAGTAATCATTCCATTAATCTAATCAATACAGTCAACTAAGCTACAGATAGAAGACCTTAGCGTGATCAGTCCCATAGAAAATAGTATGCATCAATCAAGTTCACAGAAGGACCAGATAACCTTTGCTTATACAGGGCAGGCATGACCCCAATATTTACATTTTGTGGCTTCTCCTTTATTAAGGTCATCATTGCCTACCTATTTCTAGAAATACAACAAATGATGGTAAAACCTTACTTGATCAAAAAGTTTGCATTTATAGTGAGAAGATGAATATAAGGTGTTTTTGTACTTTTTGAAATGGAATTAATATTTATATCATAAGTCTGTTTTTTGCCCATAAGTAACATGTTGAATATTATCTAAGCCCAAGATATGGACTTAAAAATGTTAAAGATAGGATGAAGCTAAAGCAATCTGATTCTCATTTCTTTGCTGAAAAAATTGAAGTATAGAAAGGTGAAGAAGAATGAAATGTTGTCATTCGTTGGTAAATGGATGGAATTGGAGAACATCATTCTGAGTGAGGTTAGCCTGGCCCAAAAGACCAAAAATAGTATGTTCTCCCTCATATGTGGACATTAGATCAAGGGCAAACACAACAAGGGGATTGGACTTTGAGCACATGATAAAAGCGAGAGCACACAAGGGAGGGGTGAGGATAGGTAAGACACCTAAGAAGTTAACTAGCATTTGTTGCCCTTAAAGCAGAGAAGCTAAAGCAGATACCTTAAAAGCAACTGAGGCCAATAGGAAAAGGGGACTAGGAACTAGAGAAAAGGTTAGATCAAAAAGAATTAACCTAGAAGGTAACACACACCCACAGGAAATTAATGTGAGTCAACTCCCTGTATAGCTATCCTTATCTCAACCAGCAAAAACCCTTGCTCCTTCCTATTATTGCTTATACTTTCTCTACAACAAAATTAGAAATAAGGGCAAAATAGTTTCTGCTGGGTATTGAGGGGGTTGGGGGGAGAGGGAGGGGGCGGAGTGGGTGGTAAGGGAGGGGGTGGGGGCAGGGGGGAGAAATGACCCAAGCCTTGTATGCACATATGAATAATAAAAAAAAAAAAAGAAAAAATGTAGAAAAAGGAATAAAAAAAAAAAAGAAAGGTGAAATAAAGTGATCAGGACATAGCAAGCTGGTGGCAAGTTTAGGGAGCAAAGTCCAAATTTTCTTCTACTCTCCTTGTAATAAGGTCTGCCATTGAAATGCTGATTTTCTGATGAGTAAATATTATGCAGTGTCATACATATATTAAGATAAAAATCATTGCAATAAAACAATATAGGAGAGTAGGGTTAATCACTACTTAAATAATTTTAACACATAACCTGCACAGGCAAAGGTCCACGTATGAAATGAGTTGTTGGGGTTTTTTTGTGAGGTACTGGGGCTTGAACTCAGGTCCTTCACCTTAAGCAACTCTGCCAGTCCTTTTTTGTGAAGGTTTTTTCAAGATAGGATTTTGTGAACTATTTTGCCTGGCTTCAAACCACGATCTCTTGATCTCTGGCTCCTGAATAGCTAAGATCACAGGCATGAGCCACCAGCACCCAGCAAATGAGTTTTTTAAGTAGAAAGAAACCATCATAGGGAACATACCTTCTACTATGACATGAAAATCATGACTGACTATTCCTAAGGAATTTTGGGCTGTGCAGCGATAATTTCCTTTGTCCTGGAAGGAGATGTTCTCTATCTTCAAAGTCTTGCCATAATTTTCTTTTGTTTCTCTTCCCTTTGGCAAATCACCACCCAATTTGTTCCATTCAACCTGTGGAGTTGGTCTGCAATAAATAAATAAGCAAATATATAAGTAAATATTAAAAATAAAGAAACCATGAAGACTCATCCTTTAACAGGTTGTTTTAACATAACTGAATTATATCAGCTTTATCCACTGGAAAGGCTGACTATGGTAAGATGAGGTAAGGATAGATCTGTATACCACCAACCATGGTGAACAGGGTAGGAGTAGGTATCTTTCATCATAAGCTCCTTTAATAGGCTACTTCCTGGAAATCCTCTGAACTGTCTATGAAGCAGTCTAACTACATATACATGCTGAATAAATGTGGCTGAAGGATGAATAATTGGAGTCCATAGAAGTAATATTACAAGATACTTCTCAAGTGTGAAAACATTCCCAGTGGGTAACTTGAGAGGGTCAGAAATAACAGCCCTGGCCAATGGGCAACAGTGGGAAACCATGATTTCCCTTTAATGAAGATGGCATTAGAGGACATTGTTCAGATATGAAGCCAATTGCATTGGCTGGATGGAGAAATAGCCCCTTCGTTCTAGGGCTAGTTGGAGTCTGCAGTACAAATATTTCTGTCCAGATAGCTTTCCACTGTGTGGGGAAGAGGAAAGGAGGAAGAACCAAGTTTCCCTAGCTTGGAGATTTGGAAAGATTAACTCACCCAATCAAAGCAAAGAAGGAAGCAAAACCAAAGTGTGAAATTGCCACATACCTGCACAAATATTGTTCTCCACCTTATAATGAAGGAAAAGAGGAGTGGGAGTCACACTGACTGATCTTAAGAAAAACCCCTTCTCATAAAACCCAGAGCAGAGAAGTGATACACTTTGTGACTCAGGTTGTTTTAAAATTGTGTGGAAAGAATTTGCAGCTGATTGTATATGATAGAGGACTTGCTTTTTCTGCTCTTCCTCCATGGGCTACATGAATGAATGGAAGAAACTTAATTTTGCTATTTTTTTTAATATTGCTTTTTCTCCCTCACCATAGTACTTTTTACTACTAATAGCTGTACAGTACTGAATATGTCCCAAAGGTGGGCATTATTTTCATCAGGTTAGCAGTAAGAAATCTGACGCTCCAAAAAGCTAATTAATTTCTTTAAGGTCACTGGGACAATAAATAACATAATAGAACTTAAATTTTTCTAACTCTAAACCTGTGTTTTCTATTAGATTCATGTTTTTCATAGGAGTCTACATCTTTCTTAATCTTTATTTTTAGAACATATGCTTGTGACCAAACTACTCATTTGCTACCAGCTAATCATTAAATAATGACCTCAAGTTGTGTCAATTGTCTCAAATGGTGAAAAAAGCTCAATCATTATGCAATAAAATATTAGAGAATAAATAACATAATATAACTTAAATTTGTCTGACTCTAAATCTGTATTTTTTTGTGTTTTCTATTACATTCATGTTTTTCATAGGAATCTACGTCTTTCTTAATCTTTATTTTTTAGAACAAATGCTTGTGACCAAACTACTCATTTGCTACTAGTTAATCATTAAATAATGACCTCAAGTTGTGTCATTTATCTCAAATAGTGAAAAAAGCTAATCATTACGCAACAAAATATTACAGGTAAAGATGAAGGCTCTTTAACTACAAGCTTGTGTTCTTTTCCTCTTCTTTTAGACCTCAAGTGATTAGCAGCCTTACAGACCTGGAATAACTGCCCTACTATGTGACCAGGCTTAGCACACTGCTTTCTTCTTTAGGAAACCGTGGTTAGGATCAGCTCTGCACGTTTGAGAGTACATTAGCTGTTGACTTTCTGAACAACCATCGAACAGAATGCAAAACCCATGTCTCTTAAGTGCTTGCTTTTTTACTCCATCTGTTAAAATGGTGATCAGCCAAGTTACAAGCTGCTCTGGACCTTGGTTCTTCCCAGACAAGTTTTTCAGGAGTCCATGCCTTAGCAGTACAATCTTCTCACTTTCTACAAAATGTTTTTTTTTTTATTCCCAGTCCTTGAGACTGACAATATTCTAATACTTTTCACTTTAAAGAATCAAATAAAATGATTTAAGTATCAGATGAGCATGACATTTTATCTAGGGGTGGGTTGATAACACTTCAAGAATTTCTATTCTTGCCAATTTTTGCTTTCCCTTTTTTTAGGGAACATTTACTAACAGCATTTGGATAATGATGGTTTGAGGGAAAATATATTGCTCAATACTTTATTATACACAAATTTGTACTATCTCATTAATGTTTGCCCAAGCTCTTATCTGCCCAACTTTTATTTTTCTTATAATATAGTATCTTGAAATAGGATGATACCTAACTTAAATTCTCACAGGGTGTAAGTGTGAATTATTAAATGAATGACTCTTTTTACTGACAATAGAACCTGAGGGTATGAACTCCTTTCTTTCCTAATGAGATTCAAAATATCATGTAACTATTCCCAATTTCCACCTTACTCACAGAATCTAGACTCTCAACCTCTCAATATGGGTATCTATTTGAAAGCTTTACTGTTTTAATTAATGTTATCAACATTTTCATTATAACTAAGCATTTACTGAAATATCTACTTTATGCAAACCACTATAAGTAAGAAGAAACCGCCTCAGGGGAAACCTCTCATGACAGCATATCAGGAATCTTCATATGTCAAAGATGACATATATCGATGTTCATTTTCTTTTTATATAGTGCTTCATGACACTTCAATTTCTAAAATGCACATGACAGCTTTTTTATTATTTGATGACAATCTGTCCTGTTGTCGTCCAATTCGGAAAGTAAATAATAGCATTTGTAGGAAATAAGAAGAAAAAATTACTGAGAGGTTTGCCTTACCCAAACAGTCAACCTAGAAGAGTAAGGAACCCTAAAGGAATTTAACTTCTACCATATAAATGCACATGAATGCAACCAACAGAGTGGGTGATTACCATCAATGTTTCATACTGAACGTGAAGGCTTTGATTTTCTAAAATAAAACAGAACCCAAAATTCCCGATCAGAGGTCATGTCCTGGCACATTTAAATAGTTTGTCACTTTACATTAGCAATTTAAGGCAATAAGCAACCTGGATATTTTTGCTGGATAGAAAAAGAAATTTGCAAAGTATAGGAGTTGTGAAACCATTAAAATCTTCTCCTTTTCTTCATAATCTAATTTAAGATTAGTTATTATGAATATTATGAATATGAACTTTAAATTTGCAAATTCTATTCTATTAAACAGACTGCTCAAAACCCAACAATGAGTCAAATGAATAAACTCAGATGCTGGGGAAATGAAATGCCCTTTTCCTTGGCATTCCTATTGGTGTCCCTAATAATAGAGACAGACATAGAGACAGACTGTTACTTTCAGAGGCATAGTGACAAAAGCAGGTGACCTACTATCATCAAACACTAAGTAAGACAGTCTTAGTTACACAGACTTACAGTGGTTACTTATCAAGCATAAGCTGCAAGAGGAGACCACGGGAGGATCCTGAGGGCTTTGTGGAGGGCTTGGAAAAGAATATTGCTTTTTCAGGTGTGAGGAAAATTCAGTGAAACTCTCATAAATGCCATGGTCTAGACCTGCTGGTGTGCAAAGACAACAGCACAAAATAAAGAAAATTGGGAAATTAAAAGGGAGCACAGCTAGTACCACAGCAAACAGGAGTGGAATAGGATAAGAAGAGAGAGAGAGAGAAATCTGGCACCAATAGAAATGGGCTAAGAAGGAATACACTGAAACTCTTGAGAATTAGAATTCACTATTGATGCAGGGAAGGTGAACACTGTCCTTGGTCCTGACATTCACAAAATCAGACAGGAAGAGTTCATTAGAAGTCAATTTCAGTCATAGCCTGAAGTCTGTGAGTGAAGTGCAAAGTTTCTTTCTCTCAAAATACCAATAACAGGCTTTACTTTTTAGAAAAAGAAAGAAATTTAACCAAGCGTATACAGTATTTTCTGAAGTTTTGCTTCACTCTTTACAAAACTGGATGGAAAAAGTCCGAAGCAGGAGTCACATTACTCACAGGCCCTCAGCAAAGCACTCCAGCAGCAGGGTGTCCCCTTTGAGGACGGTCACTGCAGACTCACTCCCTCTCTCAGGAGGAGGCAACAGCAGTCTGGGTTTCCTTTGCTTGATTGAATTTGCTACAAAGAGAAAGGAACGTCAGGGATTTTTCAAGCTAAGAGTCAATATTCTGGGTCACTATGTCTTCCTTAAAACATGAATTTGTGTAAAGGGAAGTAAGTGCATGTGTGTGTGTGTGTGTACCTACATGTGGTGTATTTCAGCATTTTCAGTGTAACTTTCCATTTTAATAGGACTGCTATTCTTCCTCTGACATCAGGCTCAGGCTGTCCCTACTGGTTTTTGTTAACACTAAAAGGCAGCACCAGGGTGGGTGTATTATATATATATGGATTCTTATATAACTGTGGCTTCTCAAATTCAGAAGTTCAAACACATCCAAGACAAATAATTTCTTAATGATTTGGAATTGAGCATATGATAGGCTCTATAAGGTCCATGGGGAATAGGCTCTCGCTCACTCGCTCTCTCGCACTCACGCTGCTCGCTCGTTCTTTTCTTTAATTTAATGTGCCTAAGTACTTAACAAAATATTCTTATATAGAGCGTAAGGCTGAGAGGCACAGGAACAGTTATTTTGGCGGCTACTATATATGTGTCAGTGGCTACTATGCGGTGCAGAGATGGCGGGAGAGATAGGAGGTGGGCATATATAGGTGCACACATGTGGGGCTAAGAAGGAGTTATATTGATTTCCCCATCATTTCAAGCAGTGGTTGGGTGAGGTGGTACACACCTGTCATCCCCAGCAGGATAACTACGGATTTATAGGCGATGGGTCGCGCCAACTGCAGCCGCAGTTGGGTGCATTCGAGAAGTGCGCAGAGGCTGCCACGACTAGAGAAAGCTGTTCTGGTGTTAAGGCTCACACGACAGAAGCCCACAAAGGACATGTGTTTGTATGTGTGTCACTGAGATATATCGTCCTAGAGCACATAACGAAGATACGCAGGCGATGGGCTAGCGAGCTCTATATATGTGTGTGCAGCAGGTGGGCGAGTGGTGACTGAGGACTGAGAAAAAATCTCTGTTATCTCTATATTGTCAGCCTCTTCTTGGTACAAGATCAGCTTCTCAGTAGAGAGTAGGTTGATTTCTTGCGTGTTCGGATACTCACATGAGTTCCAGATGATAAGAGGATTCAGGGGAGACGAGGACGGGAAGCAAAATGGAGGTATGGCATAGGTAGCGTGCCGATCGCTCCTATGACACGGAATTCACTCTCCAGGGATGCTTGAGGTATATATATATATAACTTCTTATAGTGACAAAGTGCACCTCGCTCGAGACTGGTTTCAGGAGCGCTTGAAATGCGGCACTATGCTTAAGAGAGACAAAGGAAGGAAGCGAGGAAGGAAGGAAGGAAGGAAGGAAGGAAGGAAGGAAGGAAGGAAGAAAGAAAGAAAGAAAGAAAAAAAGAAAGAAAGAAAGAAAGAAGAAAGAAAGAAAAGGGATGGAGGGGTGACTCAAGTGTTAGAGTGCCTGTCTAGTAAGCTTGAAGCCCTGAGTTCAAACCTCAGTATTGCCTAAATAAATAAGTAAAAAATAAATAAATACACACAGCTTCCTGGGCTCAGCATGCAGAAATTCTGACTGGGGAAGCCTACAGTAGAAACTAAGCACCTACGATTTATCTAGCAATTCAGGCAAGTGCTTAAAATCTCAGGACCTCCAAGATCAACAGTGTATTAGTAAATAGTAAGCATTTCCCCCTAAATGCAAAAGGACTTGTCCTATTTCTTCCTTGCTTAATACTTTGCAAATCCAATGGCAACTTAGGGATCTTCCACTTTCATTGCTAATTGTGATTTAATTTCCAAATGGTAGCATAAAATGTTTTTCCCCATCCAATGTCAACCGCAATTTTACTTGATACAGAAAGAAAATAAATAGCTGACATTCTTTTATCAGGAGAGAGGAACGTAAGACAGTGGAAGCAGCGGGCACTTTGCTATATACTTCCTTTACAAATATTTATTTTTTGAGAAACAATTATCGACCATGTACTGTGTGCAATGATTTTTATTAAGTGCTGTGAAGATAACACCATGCATGTCTGAGTTATTGATCTCAAAGAAAATGATGTGAGGGAAAACGAGTCCACCTGAAAACTGAGGGTAACCCAAGAAGAAACCCTGATCTTCTGCGATGTCACCAGTATATCAGAAACCTCAATCACTGGTCCACATGACATAAAGAATATTTGCTTCATTTATGTATTTCATTCTTTTTGTTATAAAAGACTAGTATATAATTCAGGCTTATCCAGTAGTTCTAATAGATTCTCTGTTAAAGAAGAAAAATAAAACAAAAAGTCTCCACAAAAATTTCTGGAAAATACTGAAAAATGTATTCTTTCTCAGAGAATCACAACACATGGTAGCATATTAACTATTCTAACAAGTCTTGAAAGAAAAATGTTCAATTTAATTTTCTTAAGCTCAGTGTTTTACCACTTCTTTTGACACTTAACCATTTCTTCTTCTTTTGTATAAAGTTATCAACCTTATTTATCAAATGAGACATTTTAGGAAACCCATAATTATTACTCCATTAAATATCTACTTCTGTAGCTACAGCTATCTACATGTGTTAATTATAGTATATGTAAATGTATAATTATATTTATATAGTTACATATGTATGTACCTTTAAGAGAAGAGTGAACAATAAAACTACAGCAAGGGGTTTTTCTTAATAGGAGTATTAGCATTTTAACAAACTCATGAAAGTAATAAGGAAAATGAAATTCTTAGATGAAAATGGCTACACAAGGTGAAAATATGAATACTAACATTCTACACGTTTGACTTACCATTGGAACTAATTTCTGTGGATGAACTTGACTCATTAGCATGCCTTACTGAAATGACAAAGATGGAAGAAAACAATACAAACATAATGGTAGATGCTGATATTAATAAATAATGAGAAGTCATATATTTCTCTTCAGAAACTTACAGAATGTGATAGAATCATACTGCACTAGAACATTACCTATGGGAATATAATTTTATACAGAAAAAATTATAAGGTGCTTAAACTTGAATTTCCACAGATGCATCCAGGTGGAAAGACTTCAAGTTATTGTTCCACTGAAGAGAGATTTTAGTCTACTGAAAGGATGTTATAGTTAAGCCCTGACATAGTGTATCTACATAAATAATGAAAAAAATTATCGACCAAAATTAGACAATGAAAGGGTCCTGCCAAGTTCAACTATACTAGAGCCAATTATTTGGCCAGGAGCTGCTGGGGATTATCTCTTCCTTTTGAATCTTACGCTTTCTCCTCCCACTAATTACTTCTCCCATTTGGGAACCCAGACTGGCATCTGCAGAATCAAGTAGGAAACAGAATCAATTCAAATAACTTTGCCAATTTGGGAAGGACAAAGGAAAGGCTTGATGTGCTAAAAATATTAATATGGGTTCTTTTTATTTTTGACTGTTATTTTCTCCCCTATTCCTAGCCTTGCTGATTTATCCAAGGTCACAATCAATGCTGGAGAGTTGCTTAGAAAATCCAGGAATTTCATTGTGCATTTCACCCACTGAAAATGACTAGATCCTGCAGACATCAAATGAAACACATTTGTACTGTGAATTGAGATTTGAGTTCCTGGCTGCCAGAGGCACAGCTACTGTGGATGTGCAGCTGCAAATTCTGCTTCATCTGGATGAAGTCTCTAGAGTTGAACTAAAAGAACAACAGAAAATACCAACCCAGCTTTAAATGGCTCCAGCCAGGATGAAATTATACACATATTTGCATTCAGCATGCATGATGGAATGATAAATTTTTGGACTTACAACTGTTAACTGTTAGTTTCATTGGCATTTTTTGTACAATCGTCCTTAATCTTGGAAACGCAGCAAAGCAGCAGTAGTCATTTCGACTGTCTTTTTCCTCCACATTTGCAAAGTACAGATCTCCTTTTTGGCTCATATAGACTCTTTCATCTTGTTGGATGTGTTCTAATTCTGAAAAGAAATACCTTGTGACTATAAGGGGCTATTTTCCCTCACAAAGCTTCATCTCCCTTTTCTATTTTTGTACCCTTTGTGTTGTCTCATTTCATTTGGTGTTTTTTTTTTTTTTTCTGTTTTCTGATAGGACTGGGGTTTGAACTCAGGGCTTCATGTTTGTAAAGCAGATGCACTCTATTTGATTCTTTTGTCTGCCCTTTCTATTCCTGTTAAGTCTGGTCTTACTACAGAAGCAATGAGTGGGCACATAGTTAAAAACAACAGCAACAAACCCTCTGGCAGCACACTTTTCACGCTTAACCAAAGAAGCCCACTGATAGATGAACATTTGGACATTCTACCTCTCCTTACCATCTAGGTCTCTTCCTCTGTGCTCTGAGTCAATGTTGGATTACTGGAAAACTGATCAATTCTGATAGTTATCTGAAATTATTACTAACTTATCACTTTTATTTTTTGGATGATATTTCTTTAAAACAGTGCTCCCCAAAAGCAATGTTCATATTAAACTCCCTGGCCTGGATGCAACATGAAATTTCCAGGGTGATTGGAGTCTTAAAGTTTTGGCTACAGTCAAGATCAGCTTCATTTACTTTCTTCTAAGTTCTTTATACTTATCATTTTCCTCTGTGGGACACAATGAGGAAATATATAGGGAGTTAAACACATGCTAAAAGGAAAGGGGCTTAACAAGAAGCTTAGATTTCACATGAGAAGTCAAGAAAGATTTGTGGAAAATTAAGCACAAAGGTTGATACTAATTTTTGTGAGTCACTTCATTTAGCATGTCTGATATAGCTAAAATAGAACATAAGCTAGCTGCACAAACACAAGCCAGTCTCAAGTCTAATATGTCCTATATTCAAAAGGAAGGCAAGTTTGAATATAAAAACCATGTTCTTCACAGATATACTCTGTCATATTATTATTTTCTCCTCTTTTCAAATACTATAAAATCGAGAGATATCTTTAGTCGTCTTCTGGTGTTTTCACATAAACACCTTAGTTTATTTAGGACTAGGAATAGACTTTCAAATGTACCAAATTTAAAAAAATCTATGTGGTTTCATAAAGATAGCCTTATATGAATAGTTTATATTTGGTTTCTTTTTGTTATTATATAAAATTAAAGTGCCCCCTTATTGATAGAACCATGTATTACTTACCTATATTCATCCAATAAATGTGTAAAGGTGGGAGGCCTTTGGGAGGGTTGCATGGGAGGACGATGGGGTCACCTTCCTCCACTTCTAGAGGGTCAATTTTTTCTTTTGGGAATTTTGGAACACCTGATATAAAGATCATTTAAAGGCATTACTTTAAAATGAACATTTAATGTCACAATATTTTCTATGATAGTAATAATTAATAACCTTCCTCTTAAGTAATTGAGCATTTTTAAGAAATGCAATACTCCCAGTTCTCCTTCTCATATGCTAAATACTATTAAGAAATTGGAATGCATCCCTACACAACTTAAAAATATCTCTGTATTTTGAAACCCTAGACAAAAACATGTTTCCTGTCTGAAATCAATGAGGCAAAAATATGCTTTGTGCATAGAGCAGAGTTGTAAATCACAGGAATAACTTATTTTAGTTTTGGTAGATATGAAATCATTTTTCTCTAAACACTGCCACTTCTTTTTTGGCAGTTATATATTCTCTATCCCTTATTGCAAAGATCTTGATGGTGACTGGCAAATATCCTATTCAGAGTATTAACTACACTAAGTAAAAAATTCAAAGCTCTCATGGGGAAATGCTAAGCATGCAATGAAAAGCCAAATATGACCATTCGAAGTTACAAAGAGAGCCATCCACATTGGAGTCACTCTAGTCATGAAATTTTAAATGAAGTTGAATTGATTTTTCCAATATTCCAATCTTTTGTTTCCTTCACATATTAGAGACAATTTCCTGAAAGAGCAAAGCAGTTATGGTGGGACTATTAGTCAGAAAATCCAACACCAATATTTAATATGCCTATAAAAGTATTTATATATTAGGATATTCAAAATGCATTCAGCCTGAATGTTATATGGTTATCTTTCAATGGGGGAATTTTCATTACAGAATTATACAAGCTCTGATGGAGAAGAATGACCTTAAGAAGGCATTTATAATAGTTGTGACCTGATAGAATTTATTAGTGGGTATTCCATTTCTATGTTTTATTCTTAAATTTGTGATTCACAATGAATTATCATTTCTCTTGGAAATCTAAAGATGTAATCATTTACTGAAAAGCTTTCTTGAGAAGCTTTGTGCATTTCTTATATGTTTATTGTATAGTCACTTTATCCCACACCATACTGTTGAGCAGTTGAGGGAATTTGCTGACATTTCTCTTATCGATGCACCAGCTGGTTACAATGAATTGCTTTTTGTCTACATTCAAGGACTTTTCAAAGCTTAACATTGCAGGAGGCAGTGTGGTTACTGGAGCGCCTCTGCAATTTGGGAAGGCAGACTTCAGTGACATGTGACAGTCCTTCAGTGAATTCCCGCCTGGTCAACTTATTTCTATCAGATTTTCCTGGAAACATATTTGAAAAGTCAGTCATCCTTGGATCACATTTTTGATATAGGTAGCATGAAATTTTCATTCAAAGACAGGAAAGTATGTTTAGTACATTCATTACCTTAAGATCCTATATAAAATATCACTTAGGTTGTTTGGTAAATCCTTGCTTGGATTGAGGGCAAATGTTATTACGCAAGTTATTTTATAGGAAGTATGCCTTATGCAAATAAGATGCAGTAACTAATATAACTATTATGTACACAGACCTCCAAATTCAAAACACATGTTTAGTGTCAGTTGCTATAACTCAAGCCCTAGTATGCACTGATATAGAAGTCAGCAGTACAGTAGGATAGCTGTTGAAATTATACTCGGATACAATGACAACAGAGAAAGGGAAGAGTGGATCAGAAAATGGAAGGGGCATGTCATTCTATTCTATGATGCACATGCTTTACAGTACTTAACATCAATACACACTTCACTGGACGGTACTTGTAGCAAAGTAGAAATTAGTAAGATGTATAAATCACTCATTGGAAAACCGCTCTTTCAGGGCATGCTTATGATTCAAACAGATAATACTGCCATTGAGGCTCCTCACCCCAACATTAATTAAATCTAGATTATAAAGTTCTAGCTATGAAAATGTAAATACATATTTCAACTGACTTCTAAGCCACCAACACTAAAAAAGAAAAGAAAATTTATAAGTCTACCAAATTGTGTAGCACAATGTTATAAATCTTTGGAACAGCTTTTAACTAAAAATGAAATTGATATGAGCAAACAGGGAAGAATATTTACATATTTATTAATTTAAGGTCTCAGAAGAAATATTAAGCAGAAAATTAATTTGTCAGAATTATTTAGGTCTTACTCTTGACTTTGGAACTGTGTAATCTGATGCTATTCTAAAGTGTGAAAAACTTTAACATTGGCAGATAAATGCTAAATGTAATTACTATAACACCACAACAGGAGTGAAGTCAACTTCAACTCAAATACAAAAATGACTCCACCTAAAACAACTCTAACTAGTTACTTCTACTCATTGTGTTTCTTTGATGATAAACATTAGCATTATTTACTGTGGACAGACACAATAGTTTTAATTATAAACAATAATTTGTATGCATGTGAGGCAGCTATGTTCCTTTGTTTGACAAAGTATTTCCAATGCACATTCCATCAACTCAAAGAAACAGCTACTTATCTGTATTTCAACAAGACTGAGTTTGACCCTGAGTGGTCTCCCTACAAAAGGATCAGAATCTACTTATACATCAGTGTCTATCTAAGCAAGACATAAAGAATATTCCCAAATCCCATAATAACCAAATCTACACAAAATCAATTTCTTTTCTATATAATGTCACTGCCAAACTATTTGCATCAGGAAATCAAGGACACCAGAACAGCTATCTCCTCACCATTCTCTGATAGGTCTTCATGTTTGTTATTCAATGCAGTGAACAAATTTAGAGACCACTCCAAAACTGTAAGTGTCACTCTAATATATTCATGCCTGGCTTCTTGAAAACTTTCCCAGTTAGAATCTTAACCTTTCCTAGAAATGAGTTAGCTGCACACCAGGTCTTACTAACAAAAGCTATCAAGACACAGTGCACCTGAAAATAGGAACTCCATCAGAGTTCTGCCACTTCAGGTACTATTGATGACTTTTGAAAACTCAGCACCTCAATTCTTTCAACCTGACATACAGAAAAACTTATCATTATAATGGCATAGAGAAGACTGCCAACAAAAGATTTTATACTATAGAATATCCTTTATGACAAACTGGACTCTAGCCTGAGCTCTGAAGCCAACTGGTTATGTGCTTTTTGATCAATATCTTTACTTTTGTTTATTTCCTTTTAATTTTCTTTGTCATCCTAGACTCCTCTGAATTCAACTCTCAAAAGGATTCGCCAAAGCTTCACTGGGTTAGAAGCTTCCTAATGGTAGGGATATTATAAAAGCGAGACTACATAATTCCACCATGCCAACAAGCTTTACAGTGAAAATTAGTAATGAAATCACATCAGGTCAATTTAACTAAGTAGAATTCAGGCAAGTAATCTCTCCAGCATAAAAGGCCCTAGTGACATAACCACTACCAAGTTGTGTAACACAGAGATTACCTTTCTCTAGCACTGAAAGAATTAAGTCAGTATTCTCTTACACATATGATTCTGCTGCTCTACAACCAAGCTATTTTTAAACAAAATATAACATCTTTCTGCTTATCTAGAAGATGTATTACTTGAATAACCAAAATATATAGGCAGCACCACATCGCATCAGGTTATTCGCACAAACTATGCAGTAAAGTACTTGGGTTTGAATCCTGACTTCATCTCTTATTATGTAAACTTTAGCCTATTACTTAACATGTTTCAGTTTCCTCATTCATAAAATGAAAAATTCAGTGACATCTAATTCATTTAATTTGTGTTAAAGCTTAAATGCAGTATTTCATGCAAATCAATAAAATAGTGTCTGACATTTAAAGCATACCCAATACACATTGGCTACCATTGAAAATATTTCAAATTTGCATGGTGCATACTGCAACAAGTAAAAAGATTTGATAGGCAAAGGATCAAGGAAATTTCTCTACTACTTCCACAGATTTTTCCTGTAACCTATATCTTAACAATGTTTGTGATTTTATGCAAGTATTTAACTTAATTTTTCTGAAGAGCTGCAGGAGGCAGATGGAAGGAAATGCTGTGTGTTTTATGTAGAATCTATAACATGCTGATTGAATTATTTCTCCCCTTCACATCCTATATCAAAGAGCATTATCTATTTTGACTTGTTGCTCTGTTTATAGGATTGGCCTGGTGAGCTTTTGAGTGTCTTACATTTCACTTGAATGTGTTTGGCAAATTGTTTCCAGCCTTTTATCCTTATCGTGAATGCATGCTACTGAGCTCACATGTTGTGTTACCCCTGACTCCAGCTTCCGACTGTAAAGAGACTTAATTGATTCCCATTTCCTGTAGAGTTCCCCATTAATCCACTTAGGACTACAGAGAAATAAGACTGCCTTTCAGTCCATAAGCTTGTAATGCATTCATGTTAAGGAAGGACACCCAATTCAACCCATTTCATTCCAGTCATTCACATACTCTCATGAATGAGTGCAAAGTCCTCAGCCTTAATTAAATCTTTAAAATTCATAGTTGTGCTCTCTCAACTGAAGAAATTGATCTTCTTTGCTTGGTTAGCACATATTAGAATAACTTAGTTTATGATGCTATGCACTATTTTCCTCCCCAACCTTCCCAAATAAGAGTGGTAAAAAGCCAGCTTTTATATTAAAGAAAATTTCCAGTTGAATTTGAAGAAGGTATACAAATGTAGAGCACTACATGAAAACATATAAAGAATTCCATCCCTATGCCTACCATTTCTTAGATTATTTTAGCAGCATGTCAGAATTATGTTGCTTTTATTCATTCTTTTCTTTGTCAGCCTATCAAGCAATTGATCAATAGCTAATATGCATTTTGCATCATCTCCAAGGCCATGCAGAGCAGGGAGAATATTATAGCACAATATTTTTCTTATTTTTAAGGCTCACAATTAATGCATATAATAATCTCAATGAGTGCACAACTAAATGATTTACAAACTTACAAATAATTTACAGTGGTACTATTTACAATAGACCCAAAGAAGAAACAATCCAAATGGCCACCAGCATACAGATGGATCAATAAGATGGTATGTCCAAATAAGGGCATATTATTCAAGAATAAAATGGAACAACAACATGGATGAATCAAAAACATACCACATAAACACACTTATAAAATATTTTATATCATATGATACCTTTTATATGAAATGTCCAGAAAAGTAAATTTAGAGAGGCAGAAAGTCCATGGATGGTTACCTAACTTTTGAAAATAAGAAGAGTGTGTGCTTGAAATGGACACAAGAGATATTTGGTGTTGTGGGGCAAATGTTGGAATTCTTCTAATATTAGATTGTGACAATATTCCACTAAAATTGTTTGCTAAGAAACCATTGACTGTACACATAAAATAGGACATGTAAATGGTACCACAAAAAGTTGTTTTAAAAATCAGAGAAAAGAAAAATCATATAGGCTCAATAGGTGAGGACAGATGTATGGAGAGAGCTGATATGCAATCTTAAGTGTGGGGAGTATTAAATAGTCACAGTAGGATAATTTATATGATCAGTTTAACTCTACTGATGTTAGATAACGAAGGCAAGAAAATAGCTTCCATTCTCTACACACTCACTAGCCACATCAAAGGTTGCTGAGCCAGCCTTTGTTTTGCTCACTGTGATATCACAAGTGCCACGGTTTGGCTGTGTGTCTTTTTTTTTTTTATTCATATGTGCATACAATGTTTGGGTCATTTCTCCCCCCTTACTCCCACTCCCTCCCTTACCCCCCTATCCCCTCCCTCTTACCCCCTACCCCCTTGCTACCTGGCAGAAAGTATTTTGCCCTTATCTATAATTTTATTGAAGGGAGAGTATAAGCAATAATAGGAAGGACCAAGGGTTTTTGCTAATTGAGATAAGGATAGCTATACAGGGAGTTGACTCGCATTGATTTCCTGTGCATGTGTGTTACCTTCTAAGTTAATTCTTCTTGAACTATAATGGTCTATGCATTAAAAGCTGAGTCCACATGGTCATGCTTTGGGGAGGTGGTAGAACCATTGAAAGGTGAGGTCTGCCTTCTATTCCCATTCCTTCCTTTCTTCTCTTTCCCTTCCCTTTGTTTCCCTTCCCTGCTCTGCCTTGCCCTTCCCTTCATCCCCCTTCCCTTCTCTTCTCTTCCCTTCCCTTCCCCTCCCCCTCCTCCCTTCCCCCTCCCTTTTTTCTTTTCTATTCTCCTCTCTCTTCTCTGTCCACCTCCTCCTCTTCCTCCTCCTCCTTCTTTTCCTTCTATTTTTTTTTTTTTTTGGTAGTACTGGAGATTTTTGTGTTGTGATTTAATTATTTTCCAACTCAGGACAACGCAATTGCTAGGCAAGAGCTTTACAACTTGAATCTCACCTCTGACCCTTTTTGCTTTTATTTTATTTTATTTTTCAGATAAGACCTTGCACTCTTGCCAGGGCTGACCTTAGACTGAGATCCTCCTATCTCTGCCTCTTGCTGGCTGGGATTACAGACCTGATCACCACACCCAGCTTGTTTTATTTGAGACAGGGTCTCTAACTTTTCACCCTGGCTAATCTCAAACTGTAATCTTTCTATTCCCACCTGGTATGTATCTGGGGTCACAGGTACGTGCCACCATGTCTTCCCTCCCCATCCTCTTTCTCTCTGCTCTCTGGCTCATGAAATAGGCAGGTTTTACTCTTCATGTGTTCCAATACAATGGTGTACTACCTTATCACAAGCCCAAAGCAATGAGACAAACCCATGATGGAACATAAAACGGTGAACGAAAGAAACCTTTCTCTTCATAAATTTATTGTCCCATGTTTTCTGTTATAGTGATGGAAAACTGACTAACACGATTAGAAAATTAGCTCATGTATGAAGGGAGCTTAATAAAGACATGTTGACTAATACACTAATTCCCTATGCCTCATCTTACAAAACCCATTTAGCTAAATGATCTCTCATGTATTTGTAAATTACATGTTCCATTTGCTGATTTTTTTCACTCTCTTCCTACCAAACTCAATTACAGTAGTGTTAGAAATAGAAAGCTAAATATTGTGTATAAAATTTCTGTTTATAGAAAATAATAACAGAGGACTAAAAGATATAAACTCTAAAACTAGAATCACAAAGTTTCTGTAAATATAACAGAAGAATCAATTCTCTGCGGCTTAAGAGAGGAATCAATTGTTAAAAGGTTGTTAGGAAGCTTTAAATGGTCTCAGATTTCTAAACCATCCAGGATTGGAGTGGTGGGTAGTTCTATTCAGCAAATAGACGATTCAAGAGAGCTGTCAGATGATGAAGTAATTTCAGGAGAGCCTGGAAATGATGCATAAGAAACCTGATTGATTTTCTCCTTTCTACAGCAGAAGAAAAACAGAGCAATTACCTACACCACATATCTTAGATCTGCCTCCCATCTCTTAACTGCAATAGGATTTTCTGCCCAGAATTACCTTTGCATTGTTCATGTCTTCACTTAGTCTGCTTAGGTGATAACAGAAACATTTTTTTAAATCTTTTAATTGCCAAAACTTATACAATATTATGTAATTTTTTTCTGTGCAATAGATCTAGATACAGCCTTTTTCTTTGTGTCTCCATAGCAACCACTAGAATTCAGGCTAGGGATCACTCTCATGGTTTGCTTTCTACAACAGACATTTAATGGCCCTCATTTTATATTTCCAATCCTAATGTATTTCAGTTAAATACATATGTACATATACACGTATATATATGTCATACACCCACACACAGAATCATTAACAGGCATATACCTATACCAGGGATTGGTTCCTTGACCTCCGTGGATAGCAAAATCTATGATCCTCAAGTCCCTGATATAAAAAGACATAATATTGGGATATAACTTGCACACATCTTCCTGCATTAAATCATCCCTAGGTTACTTATAACACCTAACATAATACAAATGCCATGTAAACAGCTGACATACTGTGTTGTTTAGGGGATAATGACAAGAAAAAGTCTGTACATGTACAGTACAAGTGCAAATGTTATTTTCAAACGTTTCCCATTCAAGGTTGACTGAGTCCATGGATGCAGGACTCATGGATATAGAGGACTGACTACACATTTTATTTTATGTTTCATGATCGTCAACCACAATTTTCACGGCAATACTTTCTGACCAGAATTCACGGGCAGTTCCCAGTGAATGTAATTTCGAATGTAAAATCCTAACACCAATGTCCAACTGCATGTGCCACTGCTATAATCTCAATAACCAGAACACTTACTTCAGCTGAACTATGCTGTATACTTATGAGTTTATGAAAAGACCATCTATGAAATAAATGCAAAGGATACAAAGAAAGAAAGACATAAAACTAAACCCCTTTCACATACCACCCACTGTACTAAAAGAACTCATCACCTTTCTGTCTGGCACTGACTCCAGACCCACGTATTTCTATTAGAGTAATTACTATCATTAACATTGTGCTTAGCAATGTTTTTCCATTAAAATTTTATCTCATAAAAACACATTCCTAATCAATATTTTATTTAGCTTTCCATACTTTGAACTTACTTAAATAAAATCACACTACATGTATTTCTCCAAAATTTGCTTTTATAGCTCAATATATTCCTGAGGTTCTTTTCACTGCTGAGTAGTATTTTCTGTATGAACATACCACAAAGTGTGCACTCATTCCACCATGAATTGTAAGCTTTTATCAAGTATGTATATATTTACTTTTGCATGATATGTCTGCATAATATTTCCATATTTGATGTTTATAACACTATATCCATATGCATATTATATAAGCAATGTTACCACAAATATTCTTGGCATGTATGGACAAGGTAACCAATACACTTGGGAAAGGAAGTAGAATTGTTGGGTCATAGGTACAGTGACTATCCCCTTATCAGTGGTGGATAAGTGTTCCAGTGCCTACATATTCACAACTAAAAGAGTTACTCTCAGACTTTTTATCATATTTCCCAGTTATATAGGATCAAATGTTTTTATTATTGGGTTACAACTGATCTGCTCTGACTGCTAATGGTATTGAACATTTTTCCACATTTTCACTTACCATTCCAGTCTAAGGGTTAAGTTTATTTATTTTGCCACTTTGACCTTTTCAATCATTCCTTAGAAGTTTGCAAAAATACCTATAAATACATGATATTTATAATTATATGCTTTGGCAATAATTTTTTCTGAGGTATGTCTTATTTTTTGTCTTCTTTCTGATGTGAGTGGGATTACACAACTTGCTTTTCTCCATCTAACAAAATACAAGTAAGAGTTATCTGATAATGGCTCAATGAAAGCATTTTAAGAATCTGTATATCATTGCTCATGCTCACTTCCCCAGACTCTTTGTTGAAGGTGGCACGTTTCATGGAATGCAACTCAAGGAAGATGGTATCTCCATTAGCTTGCATCCCCAAAAAGGCTTCATGGAGACCATTGGCCCTGAAGTATTGTCAGACCCAGAGCAAACTCTATTATCAATGAATAACTTTGTCTCAACACAGGGACTTTGGAATTATCTGCCACTGCAGATTAATTTAGCAGAATTAACTAATAATACATTTCACTTAATTTTCATGATACAATGCAAAGCAAGATTTAAAAATTTTTTTTTCTCAAAACACAGCAAAATTACATTGCTTTCTAGGGCCATCAGATTTTACATTTTAAGACCTGGAAGATAATTTCCCTTCTAAATAAAATATAGGAAAGAAAAGCTGGTTAAATTAATGCTCATTTCTTTCTTTCATTACTCTCCAGTATAACACCAATGTAATAATTAAAACAGCTATAAAATGAAATCTCTTATAACACTTACTTGGAACTATAAATTCTATTTCTTCTGACATAGCAACTCCTAGTTTATTAGACGCAAAGCAGCGGTATTTGCCTTGAAAATGTGATATGTGCCCCTCATTCAGTATCTTGAAAGTTCCCGAATTGTTAGATACAATTATCCGAGGGTCAGATAGATCGAAAACCTTGTCTTCTTTAGTCCATGTAAATCTATAAGATAAAGGTAAGCTTAATCTTAAAAACATCATAATATTTCTTAATTTTTAAAAATGTTGTAAACAAATGCACAAAATGAAAAAAGATAATTTATGGTAAAAAAAATGTATGCAATAGAACACAAATAAAGGTCATAGAAGAGTCTGAGGAATCCCACAAGCTATGAGAATGCAATGACAACCAAAAGGATAAAACTGAAGGTATGTTTTGTTTAAGTTCTTTGAAATTAAAGTTATTTTTAAAAGTATTTCCAATTTGAGTAATGCAGATTATTGCTAATATTTTAGAAACTGGAATAAAGATAAATACATGATATGCTTTTGTGTGTGTACATGTATTAGTGTGTATAAAGAGCTTGTTCAAAGTCACAAAACACACAAGTGAGTTCTATTAGTTGCTCATATTTCCTATTGGTATTTAGAATTACTCACCACATATTTGTAAGTATACTGAATATTCTATTTTTCCAATTATGTTTTTTTAGTTTTACAATGATATTAATGGAACTTTTATGACTGCATTATTTTTGTCACATGGTTGCTATTGTATTTATTTAACCATTTCAATAGATTTTTTTTCCTTCTGTAGATAATACTGTGATAAAAACCAAATTTATATTTTGATACTTATCCAAATATTTCTTTAGGGAAATTCCTTAGAAATAAGAAAAATATATTAATAGTAACAGAATTTTTTATAGTTTTCAGTAAATATCACAGAATTGTATTCCTGAAAAAATACACAGATAAATTCCCACTCCAGTGTGAAATAGTCTGAATTATATAGACAATGATGTAAAAAGTCTTATGCAACATATATATGTTAAATAACCAAATTTTGTTTTTGTAGACAGAGCATTCACTTGAACCCTAAGCTTCGATCATATATAGGTTTATAACCCAATAAACTTATGATGGTCAGATTAACGTATTGCAAAGGAAAGCATACATTTAAAGAATTATTCAGTCTGAAGGAATACTTACATTGGTTCTGGGTTTCCTTTAGCTTCACATTCAATTTGAAAATACTCGTCAAAAGGAAAGGCAACTTGCACTTTTGACTGTTTTATGATTGTTGGAACCTGTTGAACTAAATGTAAAAATATATACTTAAAGAACAAGCTTCTTAATAAACTGAACATGGTTAATTTAGTTACAACAGACACACTTTAAATGGGCTGTCTGTATTGGTGAGTAAATACTGATCTAAAAGTGAAAATCATGTAATCAACTTGATTTCCTCTTTGCAACAGACATGTACTTCCAAGGAGTGCACTCCCTGCCATCAGATCAGATTACCAGGAGTTGTCTATGGCCATCCCACCCTGAACACGCCTGATCTCCTCTGATCTCGGAAGCTAAGCAGGTCCGGCCTGGTTAGTACTTGGATGGGAGATTGCCACATGTTGGTTTTATTTAACCCCAGAAAATGTAAACATTTTTAAAACAGAACAAAATTTTTCTCATTACAAGTTTAAAACATTTACTTTAAAAATTATTGTCATTCAGTCTTTGTTGATATGAATATGCTTACTAGGTCAGTCATTTTGAAAGTTTTGTTATAGTTTCCTATGCTTCTATAGTCATTATAATTAATGTAGGCTTTTACATTGTTTCTGACCTTGATATGCTATAACTCATTTGGACATCAGATTATTTTCTATTTCTTTCTTTCCAGGCAATATGTAATTTAATAGGTATCCTTGAGCATATAGACAATTTTTGTTGAGTTACTGACTTACGATACACTCCTAAGCTTTGAACGTAGATGGCAATGCCTCCTGATAAATGTAAATTCATTTCATCAGGTCATATTTAGCATAAATAATGTGTGATTTTACAGTGGTTGCCCACGACCTTCCCTCCACTGAACACTAATATGTAAAAATTTTTTATTAGCATTTATTACCAAGGAAAAATATATTCTCATCCTCTTTATTTTGATTTCCATTTATTGCTTTTGTTAATAAAAGTTTTTCTATGAGCTTGTTCAGTGTCTATCATTTCCCATTTATAAACTTTCCTTTCATCTTTTTTCCCACTTATTTATTGGGAGCTTCAGTTATCTTTTTCATTCCACAAAATGTAACCATTGCTACAAAAATTGTAGCTCGCTTATAATGTGTTTCTAAATAGATTCTTCATATTCAAATATTCCATTATTTTATAACAAATTATTATTGTCTGGCAAGTTAAGTAACTCTCAAGGCAAACAAAAATTTTTAAAAGTCAGGGGTGACTTTGCCTCTCACCTAATATTCAATAGAATAGACTACATTTCTAACTATTGTGACTATAAAGTAAATGCCCTAAAAATAAATCAAATATACCAGTGCTGAACACAGAAACTTGGATTAGGTTTTGAAAAGTGACAACAAGTAATGATATACATAAATACTCAGTACTTTCAAATTGAGACATTCCTTGTTTGTTTACAGTTCTTAGAAACCTTAATAAGATCACAGGGTGGAACTTCTAAGGAAGTTCCTGTTCAGCATCAGGAACTGACTTTGGCAAATACATTTGAAAAAATGCAATTTGCAGACAGGCACAGAGCCTAAATTAAAAGAGTTAATGTTCAACAGTAGAGCCACAAATAAAAACATCAAACTCTTGACATTGGCCCACTCCTGGATCCTTTCCTTCTTAAAATTATAAGACAACCCAAAGTGCTTTTATTCACATGGGTTATAACTTACAATATTCACTCTACAGTGAATTGTAAGTTATAACAATATTCACTGTATATTACAATATTCACTGTATATAACAGTGAACACTAAAAACTGAAACATCTTTAAGTTCATTTAAAATAATCCTATAGTATGTTAAAATAAATATTCATGAAAATAAAAATTCATGAAAAATGTTAAATGTCATGAGAATACTAGCACATTTTACATTGTTCCAAATCTTTGTGATTTGAAAAGGTAACTGAATTCTTATATCTGCTTCTACATTCTTTATGTTGCCATATGTTGATTTGTTTAAAGGTAAGAAGAAAATTCAGCTTTACGTAGGTAGGTATTTGATAAGTTATGGAACATTTTGTAGAGCTTTCTAGTGACTGTACTCTTTCTTTCTGGATAGTTCACCAGAATTCAGCAAGTGGTAGTTTCTTAAGTGTTTATTGCAATGTGGAATCTGAAACCTACCAATAAACTTTAAATGTTCTACAACATTAACAATTTTACCTGTTTTTCAACCTTTGCATAATTTTATAACGTACTGAAGTAATCATTTGGAAAAAGCATTGTTTCACTAAGTTACGTAGATCTTCCAAATATTGATTCATCTCATAATAGAAGATGAAACCTTCACTCTGGTTAATATTACCACTGATCTAATCAGAAAAGTCATTAGTTAGAAAACTCTCAAGTTCACAGCAGAGGATACACATTTCCACAATTCTAATTTTTGCTTGAACACTCAAATTTTAGCACTGACTACATGAATTGTCAGTTATTTATCTTGAAGTGACAGGCTCACTTGGCTCATTCGGGGATGATATTTCATCTGAGACATTTTACTCATCTGAGAAACCATAATTTGTCTGTCAATCATAGTCTCAAATAAGAATGATATTAGGATAAAATCAGGGAATATGCACAATCCTCATAATTTAATGCACAGAATTATTTTATATCTATTTTTAACTTTATCCAAATATTAGGAGGAATGCACTCAAGGATGGAGAATTAAAAGTTTAAAAGCATTTAATGGCTACAGGAAATAAATCTTAAACAAAATTGTTTTGCTTTGGTTTTTTTTGTTTGTTTGTTTTGTTTTTTGCTTTTTTTTTTTTTACCATTAGTATACTGCTGTGAGAATACTTTCAGTACTAGTGTGGATTGGTGCCCACAAACCACATTTTAATTATGGAGAGACAGTATAAAATAACTGAAAGCCTGTCTCAATTCTAAATTCCATTTTCTTTACTTTTACCTAATAAATCTGATAAATGAGTATCACTAGCTGTGGACATTAAATCAAGTTCAGTGTTTATCCATTAGATATTCATAAACAATTTAGTAACACACAAAAACATCTATATCTTCATTGACATTTACTTTGTTTTGTCTGATAAATACCATTTCTAAGTAGAGTAAATCTCGAACTTATTATAAATTCATATTATTTAAATTCTATTACAGTTATAAATGTAGAGATATGGTATGCAATGGCAACAGTCCCTAAGATATCAGTTAATAACTCAAGAACAACTTGTTTATTACAACATTTTTCTTTTCTAAATTTGCTTTTGTTGTAAAGTCTCTGTAGTAAATAATTATTCAGGGAATGGAGCTAATAACCTTTGGGTGTTTATACGAATACATATTCTACATTATAAATCCTTGCCTTTGTAATTAGGCCAATTACAGAGACACCATACTCATTGACATTCAAATTGGATCCCTTCCTTAGTTGCATTTACTAGTGAGTGCTCTAGAGTACCAAAATAAATGGGTAACATCCAGTTGTTCTGAAAATATGCCATTAATATTTTATAACAACAGTTGTCTAAGGACATTAAAGCATGAAAGTGCATAAGTACCTGGGACAATGAGAATAAAAATAAGTGCCATGGATTAATAAAAAACTTCACATTCTTCAACACTGATGAATAAGTGAGAAAAGATTTAGGATAAATGTATTTGTTAGAGAATATAGTCAGGAATGTGAATCAGGGATCCCAGAGACACCTTTGCTGCTCACAACTTAGCACTGTATGCCCCTTACAAAAGAATCTGCAAAGATGAGATTCTTCAGGCTCTTAGCCAATATGCCTGCTCTTAGGATGCTTGGTGATGAGTTTTGACATACTGTATAAAGGCTGAAATTTTTCAGCTAATAGAAAAAGAATTTCACATCTGAATATCTGTAGGTCAGGAAAGTGGCATTCCTTAGGGAAGGGGCATACTGAAACAGAGGCTTAGCTGTCTGTTAAGAATAGTAGAGAGGGATTCTCCCTGGGGGAGGGAGGCTGAGCTACAGGACACTGTCACATCAAATAATTTAAAGTCACCCTCAGAAATACTTTTAATATACACTAATTATGCAATCAGGGCCATTATCTTTTCTAGTCACATTCAGCCTGTCTGAGTAATTCAAAAGGAAAGTTTCAGTTCAATATTAGCTCTTCTCTAACATTTATCAAATTTTCTGAGGTCATGACTTTATATCTAAAATTTAAATAATCCATATGATCATTTCCAATGCTGAGATTCTACCAACCAACTAATGACTAAAATTATAACCCTACAGATTGTACATGGGAAATATGTAATGATTATAGAACTTTGACAAAAATTTCTAAATTTTTAAGACCTTCTTAAAGGTATTTTATAACCCATATTCTTATAGCCACAGAAAGGTTCTGCAAGTTGCTATGTTACATACCTGGCATACTATTATGTAAAGTGTGCCTGCTGATGTATTTGTAAATTATTAATTGCTATAATCTGTTCAAACTGGATATGATGGCTAAATATTTACCAACATATGTTAAGAAATATTCATTCATAGGACCACTAACTAACCTCTTTAAGTGAATTTAAATAGAAAGCACTAAATTTGGGAATACAGCTACATTTTCAGTTGTAAATGACTTCATTTTTTCATAATTCACTGTTTTCATTTTTAAATATAGTCATTTTGAAAAAGAATACAAAGTTTATTCAACTTCTTTTGTCATAACTGGTTGGATACCAATCATTTCTAAATTATAGTTCTCCTTAAACTAACCTAAGCATATGAGTTGTTTGAAATATTAAAGAGACTTAGACATATGAGAAAATATCACTTGACCTATCAGTTATATTTCTTATTGTAGAATAAGTTTACATAAGAAGCAAAATCCAGAGCTGCAAAATAATTATAGCAAACAAATAGCAGCCAACAAAAAATGAAAAATGCAGATATGAATTCTCATACAAATAATAGAAAAGTTATATTCTCAATCCACAAGAATTCCACCCAAAACTGAATGCAAATATAAAATTTTAAAATAGGTATGAAAGCTGTCTCTTTACCTGAGAGTGGTATTTCAATTGTTGTTGACAATTTTAACAGGAAGCAAAGTAGAGACAGGATTAACACTCTTTCACTAGACAGCATCCCCATTGCTCATCAGGAAACAGACACAGAAAGATTTAAAATTTCAATGATGGTCCTACTTTTCAGTCAGAGAAGAAAGATGTGGATAGTCTGGAAAGCAAAAAAAGCAACAATATATTAGTTCACATACTTTAAAATGTCAACATAACAGAAATTGAATTCATTCCAATTATACTAATTTTAATTAGCCTATTCTCCAGTAATTCTATAAAAATATGAGTTTTTCATCTTCATAGCTAAAACAAAAGATAATTAATGTATGTTACATTGTAAACCATAACCCATTTCAGTGTATAATATTTGTAAGTCAGAGGAAGTTTTACTTAAATGGTATCTTGTATATTGTAATGAGTTTCCATGGCTATGAAAATGATTTAATTTATTTAACTTCATTCAAGAGGTGACTCTCAATTAATTTCTTATATCAGGCATTGAACCTTATAAGTAATTATTAATGATCATAAATATAAATCACATATCCTTCTGGTGAAATAGCTTTATTTATTCAAAGTTTTCACAAGAGAATATAAATATTTCTAGCAAGATATAAGAAGAGAAAAATAAAGAACACATGAATAAGGATCAGTCATTCCCTATTGATGGACGTTTATTCATTCCAGTGGTTACAGAAACAGAATAAAAATTAAAATGTCAGTTTCCCTCTACTTTGTCTTACTATTTTATTTTATTTTTTTCTGTTCAGTGAAAGGGATCAAACCTAGGGCCTAGTGAATGCTAGACAAGCACTTTACTACTGACCCACCTGCCAGACTCCTTTCTTTCTGAAACATTGTGATGATAAACATCTAAACACCATTTATAATGTATTCGTTTTCTTTTTTGATGCTAGGGATCAGTACAGGACCTTCCACATGTTAGTCAAGAGCTAGTTAATAGTTATACCACTAGTTAAGGTAATCTTAAAATTGGTAATACAGTAATTTGCTCCAAAGTATAATATTTTCAAGTATATAATTTTTTCCTAAGAAATCAATTATTCCATGTGTTCACTTGGAATTAATGATGGAGGTTTACTTGGAGTTAATAATGGATGTTCACTTGGAATTAATGAATAAAGAAATAATGAGGAGAGAGACAAAGAAGCCAAAATAGCTATTATTTAATTACAAATATTTTGACTTTTTAGCTTCATATCAAATTTGCAACTCAATAGTTTATAGACCTGTGTCTTTCCTATATATGTACAGGTAGATCAAATTTAAAGTACTAATACTACTGCTTTGTTTCCAAATTTTAGTAATCTTAAGTGATATCAATCCCATATATATTTTTACTTTGAGTAAAGTTACATTGATCATGAACTAAAATACTCATCTCTCTTAACACTCTCCCCAAAAGCTGTGAATTGAGAAACGGCATTACCCTACTTTGTCTGATCTCAATTGTCAATCTGCAAATTGGGAATTAGAAAAAAAAAAACCTATCCTTGTTTGCATCAGAATATTTCCTAAAAGACAACTATAACTAATTTAAAATATTTTCAAATATATCACTATGTTGACATCCTTTTCTGATAAAATGACTTACTCTAATAAAGAAGATAAAATACAGAAAACATTACTTTTATTGTAATGATGATGAATTGTCTTACACCACATGCTAAGTGATGAATGAACTGTTGCAACTGAGCTCTACATATTTGTACAAAGCTGGGAGAAACTGAGTCATGAATCTATATCGAAGAAGAAAAATCTAAAGAAAATACTAATGCTGGGTTCTTTGAATTTTGCTTTTCCTTCTTTCTTCTAAAATAGTTTGATAAAAGTCATCTAAACTTATTGTTTCCAGTTACATATCACTCTTTACCTGCAATTTATTATTTAATGTTTCTCTTCCATTAATATTCAATGTTGACTGATTTTCATGGCATCTCGTAGTATTTTTAATGAGTTGCATCTATTTGTGAAGCTTTTAAAACCATGATGTTATTAGAAGACCTAGCTCCTGAATAATATCTCATATATCATCTTTTCCTGAAATAGGAACAACCAAATAAGTGCTTGCTTCAGCAGCACATATACTAAAATTAGAGCGATACAGAGAAGATTAGGATGGACCCTGAACAAGGATGACAGGCAAATTCATGAAGCTTTCCATATTTTTACAAAGTAAACTTCAAACTAAAATCAATCAGAAGAGACAATGAAGGTCACTTCATGTTGATAAAAGGAACAATTCATTAAGAGGAAATATCAGTCCTTAACATTTATGAACCAAGCACAGGGGTACCCATTTAATTAAAAACAGCAACAACAACAACAACAAAAAAAAAACTCTAATGGCCCTAAGAGCACAGAGAGATGCTAACACAGTGATAGTGGGAGAACTGAATACCCCACTGTCACCAATAGATAGATCATCCAGACAAAAGATAAACAAAGAAATTTCAGTGCTACTCCACACATTAGACCAAATAGATGTGGTTGGCATCTACAGAGTATTTCACACAACAACTAGGTAATACACAATCTTTTCTGCATCTCATGGAACTTTCTCCAAAATAGATCATATTTTAGGATGAAAAGCAAGTCTCAATACATTCAAGAAAATCAAAATAACCCTCTGCATCATATCAGATCACAACAGAATAAAACTAGACCTCAACAACAAAAGAAACACCAAAAATACTCAAATACATGAAAACTGAACAACACACTGCTAAAATACAATGGGTGACCAAAGTCATAAGGGAAGAATTAAAAAAAAAATTCCTAGAATCCAATGAAGATGAAAATACAACATATCAGAATCTGTGGGACACAGCGAAGGCCATGCTAAAAGTTCCTATATTAAAAACAGAGACCTCTCAAAAAACAATCTAGTGATGCACCTTAAGCTCCTAAAAAAACAAGAACAAAGCAAATGCAAAACCAGCATACAGAGAGAAGTAATAAAGATCAGGGCCAAGAATAATGAAATTGAAAGCAAACCAACTATACAAAGAACCAATGAAACAAAAAGTTGGTTCTTTGAAAAGATTAACAGCAGCAACAAATCCTTAGTCAACATGACAAAAGGGTGGAGGGAGAAGACACAAATTAATAAAATCAGAGCTGAAAAAGGGGGCATAACCACAAATACCCAAAAAAATCCATAAAATCATTAGAAAGAACTTTAAAACTTATATTAAGTAAACTGGAAAATCTAGACTAAATGGATAAATTCCTAGATGCATGCAACCAAACAAAATTAAACCAAGAATTTATTAAGCACTTAAACAGTCCTATTATATGCAAAGAAATTAAAGGCTATAGAGTCTCCATACAAAGAATTGCCCAGGACCTGATGAATTCACAGCCGAATTTTCCAAACTGTTAAAGAAGAATTAACACCAATACTCCTCAAACTTTTCCAGGAAATAGAAAGGAAAGGAGCCTTATCAAACTCATTCTATGAAGCAAGAATTACACTCATTCTGAAACCCAATAAAGATGTAACCAGAAAAGAAAATTAAAGACTGATATCTTTAATGAATATAGATGCAAAGATTCTCAACATAATACTGGCAAACAGAATTCAACAACACATCAAAAAGATCATACAACATGACCAAATCAGTTTCATTCCAGGGATTCAAGGATGGTTCAACATAAGTAAATTCATAAATGTAATACAGTACAGAAACAGATGCAAGGACAAAAACCACATTATCTTCTCAATAGATGTAGAAAAAGCCTTTGACAAAATCCAACACCTTTCACGATAAAAGCTTTGAAGAATCTAGGAATAGAAGGAACATTCTTCAACATAATAAAGGCTATATATGGCAAACCTAGAGACAACATCATACTAAATAGAGAACAACTGAAACTATTTCTCTTTAAGTCAGGAATGAGGAGAAAGCTGTCTGCTTTTTCCACTCCTATTCAATATAGTTTTGGAATTCCTAGCCAGAGCAATAAGACAAGAGCAAGAAATAAAAGGGATTCAAATAAGGAAGGAAGAAGTTGAACTATACCTATTTGCATATGACATGATCCTATACCTAAGAGACCCCAAAAATTCTAATCAGAAAACTACTGGAAAACATAAACTTTTGGCAAAGTACCAGAATGCAAAATTAATATACAGAAATCAGTAGCTTTTCTATATACCAACAATGCACAGACTAAGAAAGAAATCAGGGAAACAATCCCATTTACAATAGCCTCAGAAACAATAAAGTACCTTGGAATAAATTTGACAAAAGAAACCAAAGACTTTTTAATGAAAATTATAAACCACTGAAGAGGGAAATCAAAGAAGACTTCAGAAGATGGAAAGACCTTCCATGCTCATGGTTGGTAGAATCAACATTGTGAAAATGGTCATACTACCAAAAGCAATCTACATGTTCAATGCAATCTTGATGAAAATTCCAAAGATATTCTGCATAGAAAGAGAAACAAATTGTGAAGTACATATGGAAACACAAAAGGTCTCAAATAGCCAAAGCAATTCTGAGCAAAAATTCTGATACTGGAGGTATCACGATACCCAACCTCAAACTATACTGCAGAACCATAAGAATAAAAACAATATGGTATCAGCACAAATAAAGCCAGGAAGACAAATGGATCAGAATAGAAGATCCAGACATAAGTCCATGCATCTGTAGCCTGCTGATCTTTGACAAAGGAGCCTAAAACACACAATGGAGAAAAGACAGCCTCTTCAACAAATGCTCCTGAGAAAACTGGATGTCCACATGTAGAAGACTAAAACTAGATCCCTGTCTTTCACCCTCTACCAAAATCAGCTCAAACTGGATCAAAGACCTTAACATAGGGCCTGAAACTGTGAAGCAAGAAACAGTAGGAAATACACTGGAACAGATAAATATAGGGAACGACTTCCTAGATAGAACTCAGAAGACTCCGCATCTAAGAGAAACAATGAACAAATGGGACTGCATCAAGCTAAAGAGCCTCTTCACAGAAAAGGAAGCAAAGAAAACAAGCACCAGACTCAAGAGAAAGCCCACAGAATGGGAGAAAATCTTTGCC